TTTATCTATTTCTGATTTAAACGTTCGGTGATGAGCTCTGTGTCAGCCAGCTTTTTGTCACTGTCATTTATAGCCATGATAATAGTCATTGCCAATTCAAAATCTGGATCTCTTAGCTCATTAATACATCTTAACTTGCTCATCTCATCCTCCATGTTAAGGAAAGGGAAACATCGGTGTGGCATTGCTGCACTTGTCATCAATAATAACTTGCATTTGTGGTGCATTCCGATTGATACTTTGTCATTGTTGCTGTCCCTGTCTTTTAGCGAGGCAGTACTTTTATTGAGGATGAATATAGTTAGTCAAAAGATCAGAAACCACTTCATGATCAAATCTGAAAGTTGGTCGAGCTATCTATTTGCTTATATATTTTTTTTGACAACGATGGTGTCCGGCCTGCTTGGATGCACCTCAACTATTGCACTAGGTACCTGCTAAGTTGGTTTAGCTATCTTGCAGAATTGGTTCAAGTCCTTGCAAGTGTTTACAGTTCTACATGTTCAAGTGTATGGTCTTTTGTACTGTTACAGTTCTTGAGCTTCAGAGATTTGTAATGGGGGACAAGAAAAAGGAGAACAAAATGGAAAATGCGAATTTTTGGCCAAAATATCTGAGATTCTGATTCAATGACTTTTGGATTAGAATTACAATTATCTATACAAGTTCAGCTAACCACCCAATTGTCACTAACATCCATACTAATGTATGGAATTCAGTTAGTAAGTGCCAGGTCCAATGTGTTATTCCTAAAACTTTTCCCTCTCATTCATTTTAAAACAGTCACATGCCCTTTTCATTTCAAATGCAGTACAACACCTCACCTACACTCACTCATAGCATTTACACATATCTTCAGCCTTATAAGGGTGTTACGTATATGATGAGTGGCTTCTGTTGGCACATTCCAGAGCCAATTCATTATTATGCATTAGAACTATTTACTTTTGCTTTTTGATGGCCACTGGCGAGCTATATCATGGCCATGACTGTTATTTCTATTTGATTTTGACTTCTATTCATTTTTGCAGTTGCTGAGTTTTGTGGAAACGTCGAGTTGTGTAGGCTCACTGAGCAGGTTGTCTTCTCGGACCCCTACAAAGTGTCAGAATATAATCGCTGTACATCTCCTTATCTCGATGCCGATGCAGAGGCAGTTCGCAACGATAATGGTTTGAAGATTGAAGTTGCTGAGCTTAAATCCAAGTACGTTTGTGATTTTTTGAAGATGTTGCTTTAGTGCATCTAACTGATTTGCTTGACTTTTTTCTGTTTTTGTTTTCTTTAGCTGGAAAATCACAACAATCTTTATTTAATACTTTACAGGTTTTGTGAGAGAGCCCAAGCTCTTATACATGGCGATCTTCATACTGGTTCTTTGATGGTCACTCATGATTCAACCCAAGTAATTGACCCAGAATTTTCTTTCTATGGGCCAATGGGTTTTGATATTGGAGCATTTATTGGAAATCTAATTCTGGCGTACTTTTCCCAAGATGGACATGCAGAACAGGCCAATAACCGTAAGGTATATCTGTTGCAACATTTGCCTTTTTGTTCTCTGTTTTTTACTACTGCAATCTCCTTGATTCATAGAAAAGGTCTTTGTATGCCAGAAACCAGTTTTTTTTTTTTTTAAAAAAGATACATGTCCTAATGTCATCACGAGATTTTGAGGCTTGTCTTTAGGCTACTCTTCCAAAGATATGATTGTAAATTTAAATATTCATGTAGAGATTTCAACGAGTTCATAAATTTCTTTACAAGCTAATAAGTGTTCTGAATATATAATATTTTCAAGTGTGGTTTCTTGACTTTTAAATTCTTTAAACATGTTCAAATTAACTTCCTGTGAGATGAAGTTATATAACCTTCGTATGCTGATGAATTCTCCAATGATTGAGTATGAAAAGAAACTATCTGTGTTGTGAACAAAAGTTAGCAGGTCACACCCTAGTCTCCCTACAGATAAGGTCTTAAATTAGAGGGATGGACAAAAGTGAGAGATCAGACCACCTTTATTTTCCTTTCACGTCTGTTGTCCATTGCTTCTTGCTTAAATTTTAGTGATGCGTTCCTCATCTTATTGGTTTTTGTATTAGATTTTTTATCCGGTGAGGACATGTTGATGTGATTATGGATTGGTAGATTTGACATTTGTTTCTTTCTTCAATATTTGAGAAGTCAAGAATACACTGACATATAAAGTTTTTGGCACTTGTGAACTTGTTTGTTTTCAGTCATATAAAGTTTGGATTTTGAAGACAATAACAGAGACTTGGAACCTCTTTCACCAAAAGTTTCTTGCACTCTGGGATGAGCACAAGGATGGTCCTGGTGAGGCTTATCTTCCTGAAATATACAATAATACTGAGCTTCGACAACTGGTAAAGCAGAAATATATGAAAGAACTCTTTGAGGACACCCTTGGATTTGGTGCTGCTAAAATGATAAGGTGATTGGTGAATTCTTGTTTCTAATCTTGCTTCTATGCATTTTCTCTCTCTATGCCTTTTTTAGAATAAAAATAATAATTAAATTTAACAACCCCTTGCACAGGGAAGAAAGCAAGTAGCTTGATTCCCACGACAATTTTGGTAACTCAGATGGCACAAAGGTGCTCAATGAACAATTATATACGTGTCATGTGTGTGTGTGTATGTATACAGATGTATGTGTGTGTTTATTTATGAAGGCGGACAAGATGCAATGCTTTCTAATGCCAAATAAGTTCTTTTAGGAATAACATACATTCATGTCAAGCAATAAGTCTTGTTCCGCAACTCAAGACCAATGTTCTTCTTAATCCCAAGAAAGTTCTGAAGTCTTGGTGCATGTGATTGACTGTCTTATTTTCTTAATAATACACAGGAGAATAGTTGGGGTGGCTCATGTAGAAGATTTTGAATCAATCAAGGATGTTGCCAAACGAGCTGATTGTGAACGACAAGCGCTCAGCTGTGCAAAGAAGCTTCTGAAAGAAAGACGAAACATCAAGAGTATTGAGGAAGTTGTTTCCACAATTGAGCAAGTTCAGTTGCAGTAATGTCTTAAGTTAAAATGGATGATCATGTAACATGTTGGCCTTTTGACTAGGCGTTGATATGTTTGCTTTATGACTAAGCATTCTGGAGTCTATTAAGATATATAAAATGCATATTGATAATAAATAATCCCCTTTTAGGTATACATTATGCATAAAATGGTGAGTTTTCTTTGCTCAATTGTCATTCTATTGGTGGAGGAACATTTATCATTTCCAGTTTATTTCAGCACCAACTTCATATATTTTCACATTCTGTTCTATTTAGTTGATCTTGGTAACTCACTCCAGCTAGCATGACTCTGCTTTTATGGTGACATGCTTCTACTTATTTGCTATGGATATCTGAAGGCATGGAAATAATCCTATAATCTTTTGAAGCCATGGAGAAGTACCAGGCAACATTATTTTGTGGACATTTAACTAAACATATAAAAGAGGAAACGATAGTTGGATAAATTATATAGTAGCTTCATAATTAAGTCATATGAGTGAGATAACTTGTAGTTAATCCCTTGTGCTTATTATTATTCAACAAGACCATGACACATATAGCCTTGAATTTGTACAAAGGCATTTAGATAATATTTTTCATATTTGGTCTAATAAAACAAGTTCATTCATTGTGGGGAATTTAGCTTTGTAATCCCTCCAAAGTTGATCAACCGTCTTTCCCATCAAGTCAACAAAGTACTGATTACTATATCCAGTTCTCATCTTCTTGTTAAGCTGTGCTACGAACCCACTTTTCAAGCTGTTACAATAATCAAGAAATCGAGCTGTCACATCGTATCCCTGGTCCCATCGATCACCCTGCCCTGGTTTCACCCAGTGGCTAGGTGCATAACCAGCTTTGAGCCTCACATAATCAGCAATCCCTTCAATTAATCCACCTGGAGCCCGTCCATTCCCATTCCACTGCCAAATGTGAGTATTCTCGTGGTATAGTACTCCAGTAATCTCTCTTTTGACGTTACCAGAGTAACTCTGAATGTACCTACAAAACATGAATTTATGTGGCACAATTGAAATTTCATCACGTGCATCAGTTCTTATTTATTGAATCAATTTTTAAGCATACCTGGCGCTAACATGAATCTCGTTGCCGCTAGTATAAGCTACTCCACCCATGTCATCGATGTACATGTTAATTTTTTGCACGTTTTTGCGGTCAGCAGGAGAGTTCTGCTGGAAAGTTTTCCATATGAAGGAAGTGGCAGCTGCCAATGTTTGCTTGCTATATTGTGCACCAATATCTCGGTTGAAACGGGCACCACCAGGGGTGTTCGCGGCCCTGTTGGTGACCGTGTAATCGACAGCATTGATTTTTTGGGTGAATATTGCAAGAATAATTATCAGAGAAGAAAGAAAGGAAATCATGTTAGCCATATTTTTGCTCAAAGTTAACAAAAACAATCACTTATATAAGTTTTTCTATAAACATAAAATATTTATACTGGGACTAAGTTGAGTATTCACAATTTTTTTTTCTTTTAAAAGGAGAAGACAGAGTCAGTTGAGTGTGATATCAGGTTTTCCATTCCTTATTCCCATTTATATATTACAGTTTCTTTCCTGTTTTAGCAATTTTTTTATTTATTTTTATTTATCGATGAGATATTTATTTATTTAAGAATTAAGATAGACACAAGTTCTTAATAGATATACTATGAAAAAGAAGAAAAGTGAGGAAAATATAATTTTTAAATTTTAATAAATTATTCTTCGTCGGGTCCTTTACAAATATGTTTTTGAATTTTTGGTATACTCAATAAAGAAATTAGATAATAATAATCATCATACGGATTATTACTAAATTATCTTATATCTTTCTTCAAGAAATACTAGTATAAATCATTTATTGAACAAAATTAAAATGAACTAATTAATATCTTTTTTATTTCCCAAAATTGACATTTGGTTTAGATCAATTTTTGCTTGGCTAAAGGTGTAAAGTATGAAAATATATAAAAGGCTTTCTTCAGGTGCTGGTGAACATACGTATCTAATTTGACCATGGAACAAATGGAATTTCTCTCTCTTTTTTTAATAAAAAAGAACAAATAAAAAAAAGTAAAATTTAGGCAAATAACATAGTATAAGAAAGAAATTACTTCTTTTCCCTACTCTTTCATTAATTACCAAAAATCCCTTTTTTTAGTGTTTTTCGGATACATAATATAGCAGTGTGGATACTTAATATAGCAGCGCAGATACTTTAATTAATAACGGACGGATACTTAAATTATTAAGTTGTTAGCAGTACGGATACTTAATTAACGGGCGGATGCATAATATAGCAGCGCAGATACTTTAATTAATAACGGACGGATACTTAAATTATTAAGTTGTTAGCATCACGGATACTTAATTAACGGGCGGATGCATAATATAGCAGCGCGGATACTTTAATTAATAACGGTCGGATACTTAAACTAATAAAGTATCCGGTTAAGTTGAATTGGGGGAAAATAAGGGATTTTTGTATTTTAGTAAAAGAGTAGGGAAATATTGAGAATAGGTAAAGAATTGTTGTGTATTTAAGTAATTTTTCCTAAAAAAAATTGTCGTTAAAAGCCGCCGAGTAAGAGAAATGGAAAATTCGAACTGCTTTTTAAATGATATATTATACAGCATGATACTACAGTTATTCCAATGTGTTATTAGTACTAGAAAGGGGAAGTAAAAAATAAAGTAAAAATTAAAGGAATCCCATGGTGTAAGATATAAATTACATCTTATCCCAATTAATTTTCATTTTACAAAAAATCTCTTAAAAAGGTAGGTGAATGATACATAGCTAACATTTCGATACATTATATCTGATACAAGGTAAACAGATTATTGTTGTGCTAAAAAAGGAAAAAAAAAACGTAATAATTAATTCTGTTAATTTAATTAGCTTGATTTACACCTAACTGATCCTAAACAATCCATATCCTAATAGGTAGCCGATTTAGAGATTACAAATATCAAATTTCAAAATTACATCTTCTCTATTGAAGAACAATTTTTGAAAATTCATCGATTTCGAAAAAGTGAGAAATTTGAATAAAACTCGAAAATTTTGCTGATACATGATGAATATATCAATTCTACTGAGGCATCAGAAATTTGGGTGAGCGAAGTTAATTATGAAGGTTACAAAAGTGATGAAATCGTTGTTGGACAATCAATTTCGTTTTTGAATCTCAAAGCAACAATTTCAGCCGAGTTAGATATCGATGTATCAAGGAAAAACATTGAAATTCGTTACATCGTAGAAAATAACTCGTCTCTGATGAAAATTAAGAACGACATAGGTGTTAAATTATATTTAGAAGTGAAACAAAATGAGCCAGGATTTGCAATGTATCCATTATGCATTGACACAAGTGAGAAGATTGGCGGTGATGTACATAACGTTGATAGAACATGCGGAGAAATTACGTGTGTAGAAGGCACAACACAGGATACAGAAGCTCTTGCAGTGGTTGAATCGAGAATTTTCCCGGAGACACGATCGAAGCACGCTCGTCCAGTGTGCTTCTTTCACGATATGCTATAGTCCTGGGTGTCTTCTAGTGGTCTTCTAGCCTTAAATGATTCATATTATATTCCAGAATTGGAAGTTACAAATTACATAATTAATTCAAAAAGTATAGAGGTGAAGACATGTCAGTTATATAAGGATAAAACAACACTCGTTGATGTGATGGCGAAATATAAGATAAAGAACAACTTCAATTGCAAAGTAAAGAGATCTGATAGACAAAGGTATGGGAGTACTTGATATGTTTTGTGAAGAACTGTGTTTGATTTTTTTAGATCTATAAATGGCGATACATTTATTTTATTTTATTGTATGATACATTATTTTTTTTAGAAAGTCTTTGATGGCGATGTTGATTTTTATTTAGTTTGTTGTATATGATATGTGGTAGATTAATAATGATACATTATTTGTTGATACATTAAGTTAAAACATATAATACTATTGAACCATTATAAAATTTAGTTGCAACAATCATATAGACGATACATTTCAAAATTTTGTGATACATGGATAATTTTTTATTTTTTTTGAATCTGATACAAATTATTTGTGTTGGTCGTTAATATTGTCGATACATTGAGTTAATACTGTTGATACGTTAGGATAACATTGTTGAAACATTAAATAATTTAATAGCAACAATCATGTAGCCGAAACATTCAAAAATTTTGTGATACTTGGATAAATATATATTTTTTGAATCTAATACATAAAACTACACTAAATTAATTGTGTTGATTTCTAAAAACTGTTGATACATTAATGTACATCATTTTTTGATTACTTTGAACATTAATGTTTTATATATTATAAAATGTAACTGCTAAATGTATTAATATGATGAAAAAAATTGTACAACTATGTGTTGGTATGCTTTTCGAATGAATGTGACTGCATTATGAAAGCTTCCTGCGGGAAAAAATTTGATCTTTTCAAAGTTAGATACTTCAATAGTGAACATACATGTCCAATGAGGGATATGGTACTAACCAAAGTCCAAGAAACAGTCGGGTTTGTAAGTGGTGTGACTGCTCCAAAATTGGTCAACCATAAACAAATTCATACTCCAAAAGATATAATTGTTGATATTAGAGAATTCTATGGTGTTCAAATATCTTACCAGCAGGCATGGCGTGCTAAAGAACGTGTACTAGAAATGATAAGGGGTAAACTATCTGATGGATATAGGCAGATGTCGAGATACATATACATGCTAAATACTGTGTATCTATATTCTTATATAAGAATGCAGAAGACTGAGAAAGATGAACTTATGTATCTCTTCGTCGCCTTAAGACCATTGATGAGGGGGTTCGATTATTGCAAATCAATAGTTGTTGTCGATGGTGCACATCTTGGCGGAGCTTACAAAGGGACATTTGTATCAGCAAGCACACTTGATGGGGCAGGTATGTGTTTTTTTTAGTTGTGAGTTGTTTGTAGATGTTATGTATCAACTGAAATAATGTATGTTGTTCTGTAATAAGGTTGCATATTGCCATTGGCATATAGTGTTGTGGACATTGAAAATGACTGTTCGTGGGCATGGTTATTCGAACAATTCAAAAATGCATTTGGTGAGCGCGAAAAAATGTGTGTTGTATCAGATAGGAATGAGAGTATTATGATATCAAAATTCAAGATACCTCAATTAGCATGTCTAACATGCAACACCTTTGAGTTGCCTTGTTCCAACTCTAACAACAACAAACATTTAGTGATTTGATCCTGAAAATTACATTTAGGGATGTCTAAATATGGTCCAAAAATTGTAGCTCTGAACATTTCAATAACATCATCCCCTATAGACTTCTGAAACTCCTCCAAGAAATTTGTGTTAAAAGGGGCACCAAACCTTAAGACATGTATTGCTACCTTTTTTATAACATATTTCATTGACTGCAAAATGAAAAGAAAAATCTTACTATTTATAATGATGTTTTATGATACATAAATAAAAATACTAGTTCACATTAAACAACAATTAACTAACACTAACAGTTACACTTTACTACCACTAAGAGTAAATGATTCATAATAAAAACAATTCGATACATAAAAAAAATACATGCTACCAATCTTCAATTGTCTCATACATCAATGTTAGTTGAACTTATTGTATAACTTGATACATTATACAAAAGGATGACCTGTCTGATATATTAACGACTTTTTTGTTAAATTTGACCAACATTTTTTTCATATTGAGATTTTACATGTATTATCTTCTTCGATACACTTATAAAACAAGGGTTTTATATGTGTCAACCAAATCTAAAATCAGTATGTATCAAATTAAGATGGGATTTTTGTATGTATCATTTTTTGCCACAATAAACAATATAGCATAACACGTGTAGTTAATGTATCAGTTAATTTCAATCTAACATAGCAAACGCAATACAAATCACAAACAAGTTTAATAAAGATTAAAAACACGCACTCTAGGCAATGAAGGTCACGAAATAGCGGGTGCTGCTTTTCTTCCCTTTTTGGAGGCTTTTTTGCAACCTTTGGTTTAGACGATTCAGGCACCTCTTTGTTCGACTGATTCCTCAAATTTAATGGGTCATGCAAACTTTTTGATCTATTTTCTGCCCAGTTTTTATCATCGAAATCGTATATTGTTCGATTAGTATTAGAAGAATTTGATATAGGATATGGATCCATATGTATCAAGAAGAAAAAACTGAAAAAAAAATAGATATGAAAGGAAGAAGATGAAAATTGATATGACAAACTTTTGAAGGGAGAGAGGATGGAGAAGAAGAAGTTTGGAACTGGTTGAACTGAGAGAGAAAAAATTTGAAAATCAATTTGGGATATTGATTTGTAACTGATAAGATATTTGAGTGAATTTAGGGAGAAAAAAAGGAGTGAAATAGGAGGTGGTGAACGTGGGTTGTAGAAGTGATTTATGTATCTGTCAGTTTTGATATTTAAGAGAAAGAAGAGATTTAAGTAATATTTTAAAAAAGTAGAAAAAAATAGACAGTAAAAAACTTAAAGTTGTCTATTTAGGTTATTTTTCAAAAATATAATACTAATAATTTTACTATGTATTTATAAATTATAAAAACTTATCTAAATATTGATAAATAAATATTATTTAATAATAAAGACAAAATAAGTATAAAATGTTAAATTATTTTTCGATTTATTTCAAGCCGAATAGTAAAAATAAACATCTATTTTGATATTGTAGATAAGTAAAAATAAACGGAAGGAGTACTTATTAAATAAATATTTAAGCAAGTTTAAAAAAGTACAAGTCCTGATCGATTGACATTAGGTCTAAATCCTATATAAAATTGATACATTTTTTTTAACCCAAAACTATTTTGTATATTTTAATAGATACTACGTTTGTGCGGGCAAAAAAAAAAGTATCCACTAATTATAGCAATTTATGATTGACGTGTACCATAGTAATTGCGAATAGAACTCCTAAAATATACGACAATCAAATTTGAGAAGCAAGATAAATCAATTTATATTTGAGAATGTAATTAATTGATAGGGAATATAGACCATAGACAATCAAATTTAAGGTATTAAGGGTTTGACGGATGTAATCACCTATATTTTTATTTACTTAATTATTTTGTTTGGATTTGATTTTTTTCATATGTCAAATACGTGAATTATTTTTTTTGAAATATTTGTTGTGAGATTCGGTCTCAGAATCTTTATCTGCTCTGATATCAAATTAAATTAAAGTGTGACTATCTCATCAAAAAATTTAAATGATAAAGAAATATCATGCTTTTATTTTTTGGAAAAGGGTCAAAAATACCCCTCAACTTTGTTTTATTAGTTGACTATATCCTTGCTGTTAAAAAGAAGTTGTTTTTACCCCTGCCGTTACTAATCTCATCATTTATACCCCTCAATTGGATGGAAAACCCTAAATTGACTTAATGTAACCCAATTTCAATTGAAATTACCCAATTTTATATTTTAACCCTAATCCAAACCCGACCCACAATACTAAATAGTAACAAATAACAACAAACTCATCTCTTCTCTTAGAAAGTCATGTAGGATAAGAATACATTCCTTCAAGTCTGATGCTTTATATCCCGAATATCGTTGAAGAGTTGCACTCCATAAATGTGCATTTGGTTGTAGTGTAAACCTTGAAAGGAATAGAACAGAAGCAGCCACCAAAGAATGTAAAAATTTCACACAGTTGTAATCTATGGCCCACCACCACTTCCTTCGTATATGTATGGCCCGTAATGTAACAAAAATCTTCAACATATGATGGACTAATTCCTCGTACTTCCTGTAAATCACCATATCAAAATACTCTCATTAGCAAAATCAAATACATAACCAAATTTTCCATGGGGGAATTCAATTCAATTCAATGTCAGGCTATAATACTTACGCGACAATGAGCATCAAGGAAACACCTAAAAGCTGAAGTTTTTGCCGATATGGGTTGAGTAAGATGAGCTAAAGGGTGTTTGAGGATGCAGTAATTATTATGGGTTTGAGCAACGGTTGCGAAGAAACACCATGAATGGGGTCAAGTTATCTTCGATGGTGTTTCAATGGAGGAAGAACATTAGAAGATGGGTTTGGGGTTTAATTTGATTTTAGTGGGTCGGATTCGGGTTAAAAGAGAAAATCGAATCATTCAATCGAAGTTGGGTATTTTTAGCTGATTTGGGCTTTCCATCCAATTGAGAGGTATAAATGATGAGATTAGTAATGGTAGGGGTAAAATAACTTCTTTTTAACGGCAATGGTATAGTCAATTAATAAAACAAAGTTGAGGGATATTTTTGACCCTTTTCCCTTTATTTTTAAAATTATATTCTCATGTCATTTGATTTTTCTCATGAGGGATATTTTTGACCATTTTCCCTTTATTTTTAAAATTATATTCTTATGTCATTTGATTTTTCTCATATGTATACGGAAAACAACAATAATAACATAATCTCTAGGCAGGGCCAGCTCTTCTCTTTGTAAATTAAGGCTTATGCCTTAGGGTCCCAAATTTTAATCAAAAATAAATTATGTGTTAAAAATTTTATAGAAAAAAATTAATTATTTATGATATAAAGTATATTCTTTTAAAAAAAATTAATATTGAGTTGATAAAATCTTACCTAAAATCAATAATCGAAAAACAACATTAAATACTAATAATTTTCATCTAAATAGTGTAAGACAAAAACATTCTGAATAAATACGTATACGAAATTTGTTTATATTTTAGGCCTCAAATTGAAATTTCTCTTTAGGCCTCCAATTATGTTAAGCCGCCCTGTCTCTGGGTAATCCAAATTGATCACCTTATTTTGTTCATTAAAATTTATATGATCATGTAATGCATAAAAGGCTTAAGCAGAGTTATACTTAGCCTTGTAATCAACAAAAAGCTGGTCAGGTGTCTTGCCAAGCAATTCAACAAAAAAAATTGTTACTATAACCAATCCTCATCTTCTTATCCAATTCTGCTACAAATCCATTTCTCAAACCATTACAATAATCCAGAAAACGTGCTGTGACCGAATAACCTCATCCAATCGCATACCTTGACCGTTCTTCGCCCAGTTACTAACCACATAACCAGCCTTTAGTCTCTGCAATCCCTTCTATTAATCCCCCTGGAAGCACTCACAAATTTTGATTTCGAATCAGTGAATTCTGTTTATTTATAATACAGTAAGCAATATACAATATACATACATATAGTCCTAAATTTGACATGTCTATACAATATACATACATATAGTCCTAGCTAGACACAACGAGTTCACAAAACCCATTGTGTCTAGACTCTAGTCTGGATCCGCCACTAACCTGGAATCGAGGAATTGCCAAACATGAGTTGACTCATGAAATATGATTCCAGTGAGCTCAGTTTTAATGTTTCCGGAATAAGACTGAATGTAATTTGTGCCTAAATGAATTTCATTGCCAACTGTATAAGCAATATATCCATTAGTAGTATTCTAACAAAAGCATTGAGAGCTGTGTATTGTTTCTTGTCAGCATCAACTGTTTGTTGAAAAATTGCCCAAATGAAATTTGTGGAATTGGCCAGTGTCTGTTTGGTGTAATTTATGCCAACTGCGTTTGTGAATCGAATGCCTCCAGCTGAATTTGGATCCCTATTTGTTACTGTGTACGTTACAGTAAGTGCTTGGCCTCCTTTTTGAAAGGCTACGAAAAATAATCAAGAAATTACTATGAATAAAAACTTAGCCATTTATGTGTGTATATATATCGATGTTGTTGGTTTGATGCTCGTCTAAATTCGATCATTGGACTATGTATTTATAGCACTACTACTACTAAATAAAGAACGAACTGTCAAGTTGATCTTTGGACAAAATAATCACAAAACATTCAAAATCATACGATCAATTAATGCTAACAAGAAAATTAGTATTACAGACGAGTTCAACTAAATCTGGATTCACACTAAAAAGTCTCACATTGGGATAAAATGCACCCTAACAAAAACGAACGTGAAACCTCTTATTAAAGATGAAAGATTAGTTACGCACCCTAACAAAGACAAAGACGAACGTGAAACCTATTATTAAAAATGAAAGATTAGTTACCACTATGCCACAATTGGTTGGTGACAAATCTAATCTTTTGTTTTGTCCTTGTGAGCCTAACATAATTAATTTGATTAGGAGAGGACGACAAGTGGAGCAATAATGGGGGAAAGCGTGAAGATTTGATGGTCCAATGTACTAGTTGTGTTTGGCCGGTTACGTTAAGAAAAAGATTTCTAATGCATTAAATCGATTCTACTAATTTTTCTTAAATAGAGTAATTGAAACAACAAATAGACTCGTAACTCAAAAATATAATGACTTGAGAAAACCCTGTAAATCTAATAATTAAAATTATGGTTATTAATATTTTAAGCAATTTTAAAAAAAATAAGGAAAATAGTCAAAATGAGATGTGTCGTTACAAGTATCTATTCCACAATTTAATGGTGGGCTATTCTTAGGTGATTGGTTTGGTACCTCAAAGTTACTTGACCTCATGTTTTGGTCCTTAATAACACAAAGTAGTAGGGCTAACTTTACAAGTGGATTAATGGTCCAATTTCAAATCAGACAAAAATATAATTAAGAAATAGCCATCTTTTAAAGCTGAAATAAGTTTAGATAAAAATATCGTTAGTTAAATACGAAAAAATTTGTTCGAAGTTTGACAAGTGAAAATAGTTTAAAACTCCAAACTCTTGCCACAAGAAGCTTTTCCCATTAATCATTCACTTTTCTTGCATGGACCAACTAATTCCGACCCGTGAAAAGCTTAAATGTTTCGTTAGGCCCAAGTCCAAGTAACATATATCTGAGGCCCAAACCCCAAGCTTGCTTCTAAAGGAAATAGATGACCATCTTTGACAACCTTTTTTAGTTATCATATTTTATTTTATTTTGTCTATGATATTAAAGATATGTATTTTTATTTTTACTTGTTACTTTTAACATATCAAGAGCTATTTTACTCTCAACATTAATTGTTTATTCCCCGAGCCATTTTTTAAGATTTAAGACTATATTTCAATTAATACGAATATTATAGTAAAATATTCATGTCAATCATTAGTTCTTTAAGAAATATGCAAAATCCAAATTGAATAAGTAAAAACGGCCATAAGTTTGCTGCACTGACACTGTAAGTGACATTGCCTTCTTTTATGCCCAACTAAGTTTTTCTGGACACTTTAACATATATATAGTATTTTTTTTTATAAGGTGCTTTAGTATATTTTTAGTAAGATGAAAAAGTTAATAAAATATTAAAAAGAAAATCATCCAGCAACACACCGCAGCCCGCACTTATCGGTAGACGCGACTACTTCTAGCGCGAGATATTCTGTACACCGGACATTATTAAAATCTTTTAATGCTAAGTTAAGTTACAACAACAACAAATATAGCTCTCGTACATCAAACCTGATGTATGGTAATCTAAAAAATAAAATAATTTCATCAAAACTCAATATGACAATCTCTCTTTTTTCCACTAGGATAACAAAATTATGACATAAAAGAAGATTAAAAAGAATGAAACAAACTTGAAGCTTGCTAGCTAACTAGTGACCTTTACCCCTATGACTTGGCCCAGAATATGCTTTTTGTTTAACTAAACTCTCTACCACTGAAGTAATCAAAGAGTGTTCCTCCTTAAGGTTTCTTAACCCCTCCACTTTGATGCAACTTGAAAGCCACACAAAAAGGAGTATCATTGCAAAGGCATTTAGAAAAGACTTGAAAGTACTCTTATTCATTTTGCGGTCGTTGTATAGACGAACACTTGCAAGAGAGCGATCGACCCGAAAATGCTAAAATTCTAATTCTTGTTGTTTGATTTGTGTTTCAGAAAGAAGGATTTGTCAGTATATAAAGGTGACAAAAAGTAGCATGGGGGTTGGTGTAACAAAGGTATGTTTCTTGGACTTTGAATGTCCTTGTACTTTGACAAATATTTAAGAAGAATTGAACGTCTCTTTTTCAAAGATTGGAATAATTTTTGGTTTGAAAACGTTAAATCATACAGGTTTATAAATGTGGCGCATGTTATGAAGGAATTTTACAAAAGTCAAACAAAGGAACATTCAGTATAATTATATTCCTCCATCAGCTCCAAAGGAATGACGGAAATTCGATCCGTATACGTACCATAGTCAAAACTCAAATATTAAACTCTTTTGTCGATGACTCATTTAAAAAAAAAAGGAATATTTCAAAATTGTAAATATAAAACAATGATAAGCAAAAAGTTAAGCACTTACGCTACTGTTTTAATGATGATCACGGATATATAGTTTATACAGTAACTTTTTGTGTGAGCACTAATTAGTCTAAAGGATTTTTTTTTAATCTTTGATAGATGCGTCTATCCATTTTCTATCGATCACGTAAAGAATAACACGCAAATTTCCGAAATATAATAAAGTCAACCATTAAGTTATTATGTCACAGTTATAATTATTTTTGTCACCGCAACAAACCAAATAAACGCTACTTTGTTCTTTTCCCTGACGCACCCACCTGGGAGCTACGGTACAAAACTATTTAAAAAGTTTTACATGTTTTACATATTTTACATGATCTCCGTTTATAGATAGACTGGTCATTTTGTAACACATCGCCGCTCTTTTTATTTATTCTTTTCGCTTTTTCAAGTGAGTCTTTCACATTGCGATCAAATAAAAAGAGTCTACCAAGACTTTCCCCCACAAACACATTGGTCGAAAACATGCCTCCCTTCCTCCAACCCACACACAAATTGGTGTTCTCACAAATGTACACGTTCCCCTACAAAATTGTATGAGCTGGTTTGATACGAAAATTTTGACTAAAGATTAGTTGCCTCAGTTATCTACCTTTCACCCAAGTGTCGAATTTAAATTGGACTAAAAATTAGATATACCGACTACATTGCAAATGTTAATTTTTTAGTATAAAGTCTATTATCCTTTTACCAACACAAACTATCAAAATGTGTATATATCCATTTACTACCATCAGATTTACCAAGTTATTAATTACTGTTATTTTTTTCAGTTTGACAGCACGAATATTAACTCTTTAGTCTTCACACGTTCTTTCCACGGATTTTTAAACCACCATGAAACACATGATAGTTAATGAAATGTGAACATTACAACAGGATTCCTTCGACGGCATGTTAGGACACAATCCAAAATTCAATCAAGACGACTACCAAATCCATGGGACTAAGATATGTAAGCATTTAATAAGAAGGGAAAATTATGCAGAATAACAAACATTTACCTTACATTAAGTACTATAGCTACAATTTAAAAAAATTGTAAATCGCAGCTACAATTTCCCCAATTCTTGCTATTCACTTAATTTGTATAAATACAAAATTTGCATAATTCAATTTCTGATTGTATAAATACAAAATATTGGATATGTTAACCCCTGCTATTTGTATACAATTTATGAAAAATACATAATAAATTACCATGTTTGGCAAGTAAAATATACAAACGAGACTCTAAAAAAATCCTTAAATGTATAAATACAAAATTTGTATATACTTACCCCTATTTGTATATTCACAAGCGAAATATACAAACTGCAACCTCCATAGCAAACAGAACTATATCTACGTAATGAAATCAAAAAAATTGAAAAGCAACCGTACGGTTTCAATGGGTCAACAGTCCCAACATATGCTGCACGCTGTTCGAAAAATGCAATGGCAAAACGTGAAGAGCAATATGAGAGCACGAGCAGGTATTCTTTAATTTTCATGGTCAAGCCAGGTTATGGATTACCCTTGCATATAAGCTTCAATTATGAACGTGACAGGCCACCGTTTTTCATGTAAACAAAGTTTCACCTGAGTTGGCACAAAATAGCTACCCAAAATTCAGAAATTATCTACCTGAATCGGCACAAAACAAACAGTGTTCAGTATAAAAGATATATTCCGAAAAACGACATACCTTCTGAAAATTTCTCGAACAGTAAAGATGGATAATAACGTTTAGGTGTTGACTGTAGCAGTGATATGAGGTCAAAAAGTTACGTACCTACGAAGAAGAATAACTTCAGTCGAAAAGAGAGAAAAGTCATTTTCTAATATCTTATGACATGCAAACACAATAAAAATGACTTATTATACCAAAGTTTGGTATAGTCATATCAGATCATAAGATATTTCCGTCCAAGAAGTCTAATGAACTCTAAAGAGTTCCTTCTAGCACTTAATTTGGGTTAACCATGAACTTAGCACCAACCATTAGTCTGTCTCAACACTGCATCTTAGCAATCCACAACCATGGAAACTGCTCCTCACTCCAATCAGCAGTTACAGTGTAGTGAGGCCTGACCAATAACGCCAAAGTACAGATAAATGCAGACTACTACAATTCCTTTCTGTAATAATAAAATAAAAGATGAGCACTATCATCACTGGCAAAATTAAACTAGAAAAGAAGAGAAGTGGGAAGAGCATAGCATACATAAAGGCAGATAAATATACCCTTAAACAGAAGAATCAAGCAAGTCGAGAACAAACAGGCACTGCTTTCCGTCAAACCAGTTTTCTTGACAGCATACCAAAATAGAAGTTTTAACAACCAAGCTTTTGTGAAAACAGATGTAATCAAACTGGTGAAAGCATTTTTTGTAGTACAGGAGCTCCCTAGATACATCACCCACACTAATTTCTCAGTTTTGGAGATGTAAGACCTACTAGTTTGAGCAGTGTTATTAATAAAGTTGTTTCAAAAGTCTTACATAAAAGGAATACCAATAGTGACCCTGTTATTTTACCCTTTTCCCCCAAAATATAATAGTTAGGATTTATTATTTGAACGTCACTGTTTGAATTTTTTTAAAGCATAGTGCTAGCTGAAAAAGTTCAAGGTGATAGTGTACTGAGTTAAGGGATGATGTAATAGAGGTTGTCCAAGAAAATATAGTGGGTGAGGTAGAGGATGATAATTTCAATGATCCCGATCACGTTTTTAGTGGGTCGGGCTAAGTGGGCGGGTCATTAAATGGTTTAGATGGACATTTTTTTATTTTTTGAAATTTTGGTTAGAAATAAAAATTTCATGTAAGCGAATTTTAATTTAAAAAATCAATCAAATAGGTAGAGTGACTTCGTAAGTAAAAACTCATAGTTGAGTGACTTTTGAGTTAAAAATCAAATTGAGTGGCTTTCTGATAAAAGAGACCATAGTTGAATGACCATCTGGACCTCCACAAAGTAAGCCTAAGACAAAAATGAATAGATTGTTTAACTGATTCAAGCAGTTCATGACTTCATTTCACCTAACATTATCCATCCAAAGAATGAAGCCCTGCTCGACTTCAAGCAAGAGGGAAGACAAATGTATACATAACACAAATTGAAAATAACACTTCTGGAACACACAGGTACCTACCATGATGATCTCAAGCTCTATCACTTTAACCTGGTCCCCCACACTACATGAGATTTCAACTTAAAGAGGAAATAAGTGAAAGATGCGAGAACTACAAGTAACATATGAAAATAAAAAGAAGATACAAAAAATCACAAATGGAATGTGGATTAAAAATACCCTCTATCACCCTCTTGGTTTACAATGACCACTTGAAGGTTACAAAATCTTCAACCAAACAAAAGCAGCAATTAACAGCTTCAGAAATCAGGAAATATCTCCTAAAGTTAAGGACAGATCTAGGTACTTCTGAGACACATGAGCAGAGGGGAAGAAGAGAAATCAAGTAGAAGGAGAACTTACATATTCAATAAATTTCTCAAGGAATCAAAAGCAAGATTGATGATATAGAGTTTTCCACATTTTTTAGTAAATGCTCATTAAGAAACTAGTTCCAGGAAGTTCAAAGAAAGATTGCTAGTGTAGAATGAAGAAGCACTCACATGCATAACCAAAGGCACTATCTTGGGAGACTGGACGTCAAAGATAACAGGGCTCCTCTAACATCATGTGGTACTGTCAAAAGTTCACAAGATCTTCTGTTAAACCAGGTGTGAGTTCTTGTACAAGAGGTCCTTTGCATCAATACACAGTTTACAAGTAGAACAAGTGAGCAGGCAGAATGTGGACTTGTAGGCATAGAGCACCTGACACTTTTTCTTGGCAAAGAAGGCATGCCACACATCATTCCGTCACAGAAGCAATGTAAAAGCTGCCACCATAGTTCTCACTAACTGATGCCTACAAATTGAGATAAAAAGTTGATCAGGTTAGGTCACAAATTCACTGTTAAAGTAGATTCTAAACTTGAATTTGTTATTGTAAAGAAAAGATTGCTATTTATCTAAACCAATAGTTTCAAATTCAAAGACATTCTAAGATGTCACACTCATTTTATTTTATTGCTACTTCACATTTTCTCTCATCCAGATATAATAACAATATATCCGAAAAGATGCCCTAACTTTATACTTTTACCTTTTTAAGCAAGTCTTCTTAACCACTATCAAAAAATAGATTTTACCTACAATTAAAATTTTAAGTATCATCTAAAGTTTAACTGGGTTTGCAACTAAAAGCCTGCAGTTACTAATTAAAAAGGAGGACCAAAGGAAGCTATTTAGCGGCAAAGACAACTCCAACCAGAACAGCCCTGGTTCTATCAAAGCAGTATTTAACTACTTAACTTGACACCAGTGTTTTGGACGGCGAAAGGCGACAAAAGCGAGGCGAGCGGCGAGGCGCTCGCCTTTTTGAATTAAGGCACCAATTAATACCAAAAAATTAAAAATTTAATAGCATATATAAATATCCAAAATCTTAATAGCAATAGCATATATTAGCAAATATTTCAATTCAAAAACTAATAGTAGATACTAAAAGTGTAGAACTTGAATGACTCAATAATTCATAAGACAACAATTGACAAGCAATACTAGAACTCTAAAACTCTAAAAGCAATACTAGAACTCTAAATACTATATTAATTAGTATAAAGCTAAATTAAGTAGGGAAGAAATAATTATAGAAGGATTAATTTTTTTTTAAAAAAAAATATAGGCAGATTTCAGTGAGCAGTGAGCACTGCAACAGAACAGAGCACTCAGTTCACTACAACTGAAAACAGGGGACTCAGGTCACTACTACATTACCACTGGAAAACAGAGCACAGTGAAAAGGAGGTTGCGAAGAAGAAGAGAAGAAGAAGAAAAGAAGAGAAGAACTGAAGAAGAAGAAAAGAGGAGGTCTCGTCTCGTACCTGGCAGCAGTCGCGAAGAAGCTCGACTCTCGACTCGAAGGGGTCGTGACTGAGGAGAAGAAGAGCGAAGGTCGCGAAGGTGAAAGTTTGCAAAAATATCCAAAAAAAACCCTAATTTTGGCTTTTAATTATTAAATAAGACCTTAAAAAATAATAATAAAAAAAAGGTGAAGCCAGTCGCCTCGCCTCGCCATCACCTTTTCGTCGCCATAGCTCGCCATTTTCAAATCGCCTCACCTCGCTGCAGATAGGCGATAGTGCCTCGCCTTGTCGCCAAAGGCGAAAGGCGAGGGCCATTCACAACATTGCTTGACACCCTTATATTACAAAGGGAAAAGGAATAAACTAATTGACGTACACAGTGAGACCATAACATACTTAAGAAGAACAGAAACACCTGTGCAACCGCTTTGATAATGAAGTTTGGGCCTAGCTCTACCCCAAAATCAAGCTCGTGAGCTGAGGATTGCCTAAGACCATAAAACAAGATTTTTTCCTCACACAACCGATGTGGGACTTCCACACCCCCTCGCATTCCCAGGATTGAACATCTGTAGCGTGGACAATACAAGTTAAGGGCCTAACATCGGGTAAACCAAAAATTAGGATGGGCGATCTACTACCATGATGTAGTATATGGTATCATCTCATCTTAAAGCTAAGTTGTTACACAGAGCACATTTTTATTTACCTTTTTTTTAAAATAGGCAACTTTCTATTCACACAAAAGACTCATCAAAATCGATGAGGTGGGATTTACAAACCCCCAGGGGGTGCCATCATACTCAAAACCAAAAAGACAACTAAATTTACAATTGGCTTTTAAACTCCACAAGGCTATCTACTTCCCCCACTAAATTTTTCTTACACCAAAAATACAGAAGACTAAGATGTCTCATCTTGATCTCCTGTGGGCTGCTAACCTTTCCTTCATAGCATCTCCCATTCATTTCCTTCCATAGTGTCCACCATATGCAAGCAGGGATATTTTTCCACCAGTCTTCTTTTGATCCTCTCTTTCCGATTCCTTGCCAGTGTGTTAGGACCTCAAAAGTGGTTCTGGGCATTGTCCAGTTAACCCCGAGTATAAAAACGAACATGTTCCACAGATCTGTAGCTATCTTGCAATGCAGAAACAAATGACCATTTACTTCAGTCTTCTGTCCGCACATGTAGCACTTTGAACAGATCTGTATACCTCTTCTTTGTAGCACTTCATGGGTGAGACAAGCTCTTCTAATTACCAACCAAGTGAAGCATGCAACTTTTAAAGGAACCTTAATTTTCCAGATTAATTTCCAGGGCCAAACTGTTGTCAAGAAATGATTGGTATTCCTCTCCCAATAACATGACTTAACTGTAAAAACCCCTCTGCTATGCAGTCTCCAAACTGGTTTGTCAGGCTCTGTGACAGTGCCTGGAAACAAGTTTAAAGCATGCAGTAGGTCTGCTACTCTTCCAACCTCCCAATCATTTAGAGCCCTTCTGAACATAAGGTCCCAACCTTGAGGGCTCCACATCTGTGCTATAGTGTCATTCTGCTGTAGACTGATAATGTACAGATCAGGAAAAAGTATCCTCAGATTTACATCACCTAACCAGGTCTCATTCCAGAAACTGGTCTTCAAACCATTCCCCACTCGGAAGGTCACCTTTGCACTGAAATCAGGCCACATTCTCCTGATGGTTTTCCATACAGAGCACATTTTTATTTACTTAATTCTTTCTGCTCCGATACCTTGGCAAAACTCAACTTAAAAAAGTTAGCTCATGAGGTGAGGATTGCCCCAGACCATATAAAGAGACCAACTTTCCCTCCCCACAGCCAATGTGGACTTCAACACACTTGTTAACTGAAAGATTGGAACAATTTTACATGCAACATATGTCAGCAGACCAACAGATTGGGTACTCCCTATTTGCAGACTTGAAGGAGTTTTTGATGGGTTTGGCAAAAAAGAGGATAGTCAACATCCAACACCAGTACCAGATATGGTGGGGAATTGGCCACCCATTTAACAATCTAGATGGGTAGACTTCAATAACATTATCCAATATTCATAAATGAAGTATAACAATGTATTGTAACTACTGCAGTCTGCAAGATTGTAATCCCGCACACAGCATACTTACACAACATCATCACCCTCATGTATTGTTAAAAAGTTAAAACAACTCTTAAGAAGTAAAACTCCCTAGAACGATAGAAAGAATCTAGAAGAAACCATATCAATTAATGGGTTAACAAGAACAGCAGAACAGCCTGCCCCGTTTTCTGCAAATATGGTTAAATCAATATCTAGTAGAAATTCTTTCAACAATGCATACGAGTCATATCATTCTTTTGGTAACATGCCATAAACAAGGGAAAACAGTTTACAACGTGATACCATTGCAGACTGTAACTATAAGCAAAAACCATAAAGGGGCCTAAACCAGTATCATGTGCTTAATCTTGCAAGGCCGACAGCCAGCAAACATATTTGCTTCCAGTATAGCTAAATTTCATGATTTCCACTAAGAGTCGGAAAGACAAGTTTGAGAAGAAGATCATCCGAACCATATTTTTCTTTATAAAACATTATATATGGATACACATCTCAACAAGAAAATAAATGAAACAACTTATTGTTACCTGAAAATGTGGAAGCAAGTTGTTGTAAACTTCTACGAAAACTTTTGACCTTGCAGTTAACCTGATATCACAATCTCAATAATGTCAGACCCAGTCTTCATTCATAACAAATCACAAATGCATTTTCCCTGTTACACTTCCCATATTTATTTGTGCTACTGCTTGCAGTAAAAGAGGTAAATAGTATTATTTTAATTTTTTTTTAAAAACAATGCAAAAGGAATCCAAAATATCCAAACAATAAAAATATTGATGAGATGTCATCATTGTGCTAGACAAGGTATTTACCAAAAGCACCACAAAAAATGACAAAAAAGAGGAAGAAGTTGGAAAGACAGTTTTCAAGAGTCCCTCCAGTTAATCTTCCTCACCAGCTGTTGTGGGGAATGTCCCCCTGTTTGAAGGTAAACGACAGGAGAAGCCCTGTCTCCTGTGTTAATACTTACATTTAACAACATACTTCTTTTTATTTATTTATTTATTGTGGAAGGAGCTAGCATATGACAAGAGTACCACAAAAGGTCCTTCGATGGGTGAGGGAAAAGAAAGGAATTTCACATTAAATATATCAATGTCATAAAGGACATGTATTAAGGAGTCATCACTTACATGAGAATAATAGTAGGAGATACAAATACAAAAGAGTTCCTCGGAACAGTGGGTCTACACTAGGGATCAACATTGAGCCCCGATTTGTTTATCCTAGTTATGGTTGAGCTAACCCACACAATAAAAGATGAGGTCCCATGGTGGATGCTATTTGCTGATGATAGTGTGAATCAACAAAACCAGCGAGAGCGTCAACCAAAAGCATGAACTATGGAGAAGCCTTTTAGAGAGTAAGGATCTTCGGTAAAATAGAAATAAAAGTGAATATATGCACCAAGTTTAGTTAGAAGAATAAAGTTGAGGTGAGACTCGACGAAATTGCGGTGCCCAAATACAAACAATTTAGACACCAAGGCTTGTTGTTTCAAGAGAACGGAATAATAAATGAAGATGTTACTCATAAAAATAAAACTGGATGGTTGAAATGGAAATGTGTTACTGAGGTGTTATGTTGTAAAAGGATGGCTGCCAAAGTGAAAGGTAAGTTCTACTGAACAACTATAAGACCGACAATGTCATATGATAGTTGCTTAAGTCCAACATATCCATGGGATGAATGTCGCACAGATGCAGATTCTTAAAATGAATGTGCAGTCAATATTCGATAAGATTAAAAATGGTCACTTGCCAAAAGGTGCAAACAGCATGCAATAAAGATAAAAAGAGAGGTCGCTCGAGATGATGTCATAGTAGTACGTGGGTGTGCAATTATGATGCACTAGTATGTAGGTGTGCAATTATGATGCACTAGTACGTAGGTGTGCAATTATGTTGAGTGAGGATGTTAAAACGGATGACAGGGTAGACCTAAATCACATGGAAGGAAGTTGTCGTGAAAGACCTACAATTTCTTGGAATCAATGGAGATTTAGCTAAAGATAGGATCCAATTGAAGAAAAAATCCATATAGATGATATCTACTAGATGAGAATAGGCTTTAAACTTGTTAGAGAACTTCTAATACCATTGATTGTTATTGTTATATATATTTAATTTATTTTTTACATTAATCAAGCTGAGTCAAGTCACCCTATAAAGAGAAAGTTGCGCAACCAAAGTAGCCCTTACTATACAAGGGGGGAGGAGCGCTAAGAAAGAGAAAGTGTTATCACTATACGAAATGAATTTTTATTTGGTATGATGATGACATGAGTTGAGCTTAAATAGAAAGGTGAGGATTCATATAGCCGACCCCAAGTTGTTTCAGATTGAGGTGTAGTCGTTGTGTAATACAACAAAGACCGCAAGTCTGCCAGTATGTGTCCTTCAAAATTTTACTTGAGAAATCTTATCAAAATATTTACTTGGAAAACTACACTTCGTGGCAGTCTAATTTCCTCATCACCTTGGGTTCTGCATGTATAAATAACACCACATTGAGTTTCTACTTCAAGATTCCAAGGATGAAAGGAATACAATAGCATCAAGAAAGAAATTTACGATTGCAAAGAGGATTAGAAATACAGAAGCAAGTGCCAAGAAAATAGATGTGCAGAAGAAAATGAACACATACTGCAGATACGTCTAGTCTCAACATACCTTCTTAAAAGACAAGAACATATGTAAACCTCTTCAATATCAGTTGAAATTTTTAATTTTAGATACTGCTTGATAAGCTCGCATAAGCAACTAACAGCCTCATCCCATCCATCAGTACCGACATCAGGGAGAATGTAAATCTGAGACATAGTCCTCTGCAGTACAGAAGATAACTGTTTCTTTTCCCCTGCTCTCTGATACATCTCTGCCAAAACGCACAAAATCTGACAATTGCTGGCTTTGAATATGTCAATCCATTCAGGTGGATTTCCAACCCACAAATCAATGCTTGAAATAGAAGGACTACAGTTCTGATTATTAGCACAGACCAAGGAAGCATCTAGTGAAGCTTCAGTGTTCCTGTGTGCAGGGAGGAGTTCAAGTATATCTGTCCTCAACTCCTCAGGCAATTCTTGAAAAACTGAGGTGTCTACTTGACTTAGAGAAGAAGGCATTAGACTGATGCCTCCTGAGACAGGAGCATGAATAACCACGTCCATATTTGGTACACTAGCATCAGACAGTGTCTCACTTTTCATATCAGCAAAAAGCTTATTAGGATAAGAGACCACTTGGATTTCCTCTTCATTATACTGATGCTCCAATTATATCCACCAGAATCAACACCATGAGGTTGTAGAAACAAGATAAACATCATCACCAATATTAAACCAGGACAAATACCAAGCTCGCCCAAGAAGAGGAGAAAAACTAAAGATACCTCATGAGCAGCAAAAGCTTCACCAGGTGCAGCAGGGCAAACAGAAGATATGTTTTCTTTTCCTGATACGCCTAATTTAAAAGATATGAGAAGTGAGGCAAAATCTTGTAACAAAATGGTATATATGTATAAGCTAATTGGGTTAACCAACTGCCTTCTGAAAATTAAAGGACTGCATCCTCACCTTTGCTTCTCTTTTCATTAATAAAATGAGCCAATTTTCCATTATACATGTCATTAATTTCTGAAAAGACCTCAAGAGGAAGAGACTCTATAACTCCTATATCAAGTTCGTTCATAGGAGGCAGAGTTCCAGCAGTACCAGAGGGCGACGCTGCAGTCATTTCAATGAAAGGTGTACTTGAATCACCCTGCAACTGAGCTTGGCGTTCATCAACACTGTTTTTACTGTTAGCTGCAACATCAGAGAAGCATATCGAATTCAGACTCATCCAGCATGTCTTCAGTGGAAAATGAACTCAATACAAGTTCAGACGATACTTTTTAGGTAAGAACTTGTTGAAAACATAGAATCGATGTTGGAATAAATTGACATGAAGAAGCAACATAAGACCATCATACTAACTTTTTAACAGAAGCATTAAAAAATATATTTCATATCCATCAGTGCTGCTGCAATAAAAATCCCATTAAGTTTCTCGTGTTGTACAGAGAAAGGAAACAATCTAAGATAAGCAATTATGATGTCCTCAAGTATTTTTAGGACACACAAATTAAAGAGATTCCTTTAAAAGGTCTACCACTTTTCATGAGCTAGAACACAGCCAGTGGAAGGAACCACAATAGAGTTTCAGTACCAGTTTAAGTGTGTTGGAAATATTTCTATCAAGCAATAGGCATGACTAGAGACAATAAATATTTGGACAGGCCAATGAAAATAAGTGAAGAAGTCAAACCAGCATCAGCACCTTTCTCATGACTACTGCTTCTGTTTTGGTTATTGGTCTTAGTAGAGGGAGCAGTGAGCCAAGATCTGATGGAGTATCTCTCTTTGCCTGGATTTATGTCAATGAAATTAGTAGAAAAGCCAGTTCATAAATGATATACTGTCGTCATCATAACTGGCATAGAGAGATATATGAAACGCAAAGAAAAGACCTTGCTTGGAACTATCTGCAGTTTCAAGCTTTGAGACCTGCAATCCCATGCCTCGTATGTCCTCCACATCTGCACAGCAATAGTCAAAACAGCATTTATATTAGAAGAAGAAAGCAGGGTAGACTACAAGTCATACTGAGATCACACTGTGTATGTTTTTGTTGTTGCGGAACAAAGAAATGGTTGATGTGGAAGAAAAATCTAAGTTTCTTACTCTAAATTCACTTGGTCCAAAGGGAATTCTAACATCCTTAGAGAAAAATTTTGGTCTGTAATGTTCAAAATTCACCATGACTTGATTGATTCTGATTCGTCTAAAAATTAAGTGAAAAGAGAAATGCCACTAATGCAGAAACCAAAGAACACCAAAGTTGCACTTAAATGTTTCATCAGCATCAGAGCTGCACCAGTATATTTTTAGTTTCCTTTCAGGCTAATGATAAGGTTTTTGAAGTTTCATGCAAATAGCATTCTCTGCCAGATCATTGATATCAGCTAAAATTTCTAAAGATAATTCATTTCCATTTTGGCATTCACCCTAGAAATAAATCACCTAGTGTTTTTTTGTCTTTGCTGGAATTTGAACCTGATCTCCAAGGTTTGCACCCAGTTCATTGAACCACTAGGCCACACTCTTGGGTGCGGATTTGAACCCTTATTTTAAAGTGTATCATTCACATAGGGAAAGCAATTACCCACGTGTGAAGTCGTAAAAAGCTGTGAAACAATTCTCTCAAGCACATCAACACTATCTGTAGCCAATGGCACCTACAAGTGGCATAATGCAATTAAAGGAAATAGAAATTTCTTCAGTTAGAAAACACGGAGCACGAGGTTATCACAGAAAATATAATACCGTGACAGAATGGCTCAAGTTATCACAAACACCACAGCCCAAATACTTTACTGGCTCCCCTGCATCACCCTTTCTTTTCTTTATCTGTATTGATAAATATAGGTGCAAAAGCAGCATAAGAACCAACTATACAACTAGTTTATGCTAAAAGTTCTCAGTAATGAACTATAATCTCAATAAAAAAATAGTGGCTTCATAAGGCAAAAAACAGTGACCTTTAAGGTAAACTTCCTCCCTATCACTCCACACCCCTGCAAACGTAATGAAACCTCCTTGCAAAGGTTTAACAGAAAATGTTGTACCTGAATTGAGAAGGTGTTTACTGTCAATAAGCATTAGTACAAAGGGCCAAAACAACAATGATATTTAGTGGAGATCTAACGTCTTTCAGATCCTTGAACCTCACGCCCCAGTTAACATCTGCACCTATGGATTTGCTTTCCTGCAAACGTATCGAGAAGTTTATATATTTGGCTTGAACCTGCATGACTGATTATAAACAAAATGACAAACTTCATGATGCAGATTCACGAAACATGTAACTAGTATCTGCTTCATTTTGACAGGTACTAGAACAGCTTTTTAAGACCTCTACAGAAATACGATGCAAGTGTATATGTACTACTTACTACATTTGAAACAGAACGAAAACTTGCTCTGAAAATATCATAAATATATAAACACACACACAATACCACTTGAGAGACATACTTATATCGGCACCAGAATCAATGACGCAGGTTAGAAGCAACAAGCAGCACAGGAGGCAAAATAAACACTCATCAATCATTAAGCAAGTCTCCAATATTCAAAACAATAAGAAACAGTAAAATAAAGGAACAGTGAAATAAAGGAGTCAATGGGAGTTCGTTAGTCAGTTATGTGACTATGACAAAAATCCAAAAGAAAAGCCTACAAATAAAAGCAATAAAGTAAGACATTCTGTGTTGGTCCTAACCTGTATCATGCCAACCAACCGGTCATCTATCCCTCTACTGTAGCTCCATAGCATACTGCCAGTTTTAGAACCAAAGTCCTTCTGGAGAGTTTCCTGGAAACACAACAAATGAGTGGGAGATATATATAGTCCAATATTGAGTATAATGCATGTCATCCCCAAAACATGGCATGCCACATATATAAAGCATTCTTTGTGCCACCACAATTGGTGTATCGATAAGTATCATATGAAGGAGAAAAGCATCCCACTCGACCAGCTGAATAACAGCAAAAAAATTATGAAAGTATTCACCAATAAAAAAATCACTTCTTTAATCAATAAGACAAGTCTTGAGCAATTCTAAGAAATAATAACCAATCAACGAACAAACAAGTGCTGTAATGTGTTCGACACACTTCGTTCTCAAAAGAAACAACCCCCATGCCAATAAGGAATTTCTTAAGCACTGATTAATCTTAGTTTCCACTAGACGAGATATTCTCATTTTATTGAATGATCATACATTTGGGAACATTTTAACCATGAGTTTAACAAAACATCACTAGTTGAAATAAACTCCAGGAGCTGAGTAAGCCAAATGCCATCTTAAATAAACAATGTACCTTTTCATCAGCTCTAGTAAATGAAGGTTCCAAGGATGCTAGACTTAACATGGGCCCATGAAACTAGGGAACAAGTGGCAAAGAGGACTCTGACTCGAGCAGACAGCATGAAAATAACAAACCTTATTTTTTAGCTATAGTTGAGATTACCTGTTAAACTTGAAACCTTTTTTCACAAGAAATGGAAAATATAGTTTCATGGAGAGCTTTGGATGGAGAAGGCATCTAAACAAGAAGATTAATCCACTGAATACCTGCAACCCCCACTGGCCTAGGTATCAAACAACACTACACCACCACAACACCTTCCTCCTCCTTCCATAGCGTAGGAAGGTCGGAATAATTCAACTAGTGTCGTCCATGCTAGACTGCAATCCTTGGTTTCCAAGGTTGTCACTCCTTCTCCTAAATGCTAGGCCACCCGGCTTGGGAGAAATTCTGCTTATGAACTCTTACAAACATATCCCTTGATACAATTTTGCAGTACCTTCCAGCTACTAGTTTTAATAAATACCATTATCTTATTATTTTTATAAACAAATATACTAGCAAACATACAATGAACAAGCAGATCTCTGTAGCAAGAGATTCAATGATTCATGAAATACTCTTGTAGTGGTTCTTCAAGCATGAAACATATCTTAGGGAAACCAGATCAAAAGAGATACAGAACAGTGCTTGTTGTAAACAAACTATAACTAGATAGAAAATCAAAACCGCGAGAGCAATTACCAATATATTGCAGAAGGAAACAAATACTAAACAATGAGAACCTTGGAAATCATACGCAGCTGCCCACAAGTTGTGATTTGTCTCCTGTTCAACTTCTCTTCCAACACGTGACCGATTCCAGGAAGTGCTTTTACTGGAAGTTCACACAGGTGCTCCTCCACCTAATATAGCCAACAAGATAAATCAGCACAATAATTATTTCACTTCTCTAAAATGATCTTCAAGTCTTTGTTTTCCTCTTCTGCCACTACATACAGTAGACACTAAAATATAAGATGATCAAAAAGGAAGTAGTAAATCAACAAAGATGTAAAAACAAAAGAAATGTGTTTGATATAGAATAGTATCTGTGATGGGACAAAACTAAGTTATCAAAATAGCCCTATTCTGGGACTTATCCTTCATAAAATATTCGCAGATTGTTTTATATTTTTATATGGTAATAAGAAAGTTGTAATTTATTTTCAAAAATTAGTAAAATAATTCAAGAATTCATGTTGATTTCCATCTAACTCCAGATTCTTGCAGCGGAAAAGGTAATCATGCTTGAACAGGATGGACATAAACAAAGTGAACCAAAAAAAGCCTCATGTGGCAATGGAGAAACAGCTCACGTGGCAAGGGCATGGAGAAGCCCTGGCAGAAACTTCGCTTTATGACAGTGGAGCCAATAAAATCTGATTTAACTTGCAGACGTGTCCTTTCTAGAAGTACATGCAAATTTACAATGCCTAGTGGACTATCGGGTAAGAAGAGATTTACTACAAATAGTTAAAGAGAAAGCAATGACATGTAACCGATAAAGATGTAGCAGCAAAATTGTATTTTGTAATACAATAGAAGATACACATATTTAGATGACAAAGATCAAAACATAAGTTCTCCCCCCTCTTCATACATCAAAAAGACAGCTCGAAATAAGCTACCTTCTCAGCAGGGATGTAACACTGCCCATCTGGTTTTGCAATCCTAGTAGCAAGACGCGCCATAAGCATATTCCCAGCAATACCAGCACTAGCAGTACAGCCTGTCGCATCAAGAATCTCCTCTCTGATCACTGAGACAAAAGTTTGAATGTCCTCTACTCCAGAATCAGTGGCATCTAAAAATGCTTCATCACAACTTACAGCCTGCATTCAGTAGCAATTATCAATCAAGAGAAAAGAACATCACGAAGTTGTTCAACAAGCAGTTTTGAGGCCATACCTGCACTTTGTTGCAGTACTTGTGCAATATGTTATAAAAGCGATCAGCAACCTGCAAATGAAATCAGATTTTATAGGACTCGATATCCAAATACAAAAGAATTCAATTGAAAGGGGAAAAAGAACAAAATGAATAAACTGAAATATCATGACCACCTCCTCATAAGCCTCGAAGTCATAAGAAAGAATTACTAGGTGAGGGCAACATGACTTGGCATCTCTGACAAACATTCCAGCCTTAACTCCTATGAGAAATAAGCTTGAATGACGATCAAATTTCGAACACAGGATAATATTTAAGAAAAGATTGAATTACTGACTGAAAGACTGACCATAACCCCTAGCAGGATAATTCGCTGAAGATATTTCAGCTGTTCCGCGTGGATTATCTGAATGGCAAATGGCAACAGGTTTATCCTTCAACTCGGGGCGATTCCTAATGACCACAGACACAAAAAAGCAATCCTGAACAAGTAAAGTTGAACTGATTGTTTTAGTACAGAGAATAATCTACAGAGACAGGTAGTATAACATATATATGAGATTCCTTTAGATCAAGGAGAGTGAGAAGGGAGGAGAGCCAGAACATAGACGCGGTCACAACAACATAAAGAGGACAAGTTAAATTTCTAGACCATCGAAGCAGAAATTACCATATCCACATGAATAATCATTGTCTTATTTGCTGTTGCTGAAGAACTAGGGCCTGAACTTGTGCATCTAAACCCACCAGGGGAGCTAGGAAATCGTTTACGGTACCGGTTTCTCCAGGTGCCAATGAAATGCAACCTCGAATGCTGAAGGCAAAAGCACACGAGGAATACGTCAACCACTTTGTCACAAGGTGCTTTTAGTATTTGATATGCAATTACTTATCAATGTGCACATACATTTATATATATATTAGTTATACAATGCAATAGCTGCAAATAAACAAATTCAAAATAACAGATCCACTAGCAAAAGCAAGTAGTCTCATCGCATCAGAAGGCCCAAGAAAATCTGGATGCCAAGAATTTAATAGTAGTAATATAAGCAACACAATATCTAGGTATGATGAGTTGGCTGTCGATTCTTTGTATTCAGTTTTTTCTCAACTAAAAAAAAAAAGAATTAAGATTAGATCTTCCACAATCATGAAAGGTCCATCATTTTGTCATCCCATATCCAGCAACAGCAGAAGCAAAAGCATAAAGTAAGTTGATAATGGTCAGTAGTTAAAGAAAATTTTAACCCAAAAAGAGACGGTTGCTATGTGCATGTGGATACTGTTTTGGCAATTGTTGTGAAAAAGAATACCAATGTCATATCACCCTTCAACATGTTTTTCTTTATGAGCTCAGCCTTGTCTATCCTTTGAGCAAAAGCTTTTTGCACATGAAAGGCCCCTCGTTGGTACCCTATTAGGATAAACATAACATGCGCTGGCATTTCACCTATCAAAGGTGTTGGAGATACATAACATCCCATATATATATTGTGTGTGTACTACATCCCACGTCGTTTGTGTAAAGGGCATCCTGGGGAGTTCATCCTAAGTTACTTGACCCATTGCCTCAAAGTCCAGGTTGGATGTTTAGTCTTAACACATCTTTCAAAATCGACTTCGTAAGCCCATTTTCAGACTTACTAGTCCGCATTGAAATTTACATGTGAGCTCCAAAATCCAGGCAATATTTGCAGAGAGGTGTTGTAATATGTGATGATAATTAACTTAACAATGATAACAATATAAACTAACTTTCCAGCGCCTCTAGCAATAAGGAAAAAATAAAAATGAACTTGAGAGTAGATATTGTTCATTACAATCATTTTTTTGTTGTTTTTTCTTTTTTTGCTTCTTTGGGGGAGATAAATACAAGATGTTCTAGCAAGAGCAAAGCCAATATCAAGATAGCAACATATGTACCTTAAAGTAATTTTCCACAAAATTAGCATCAACTAAAGTTGAATGTTGCTGATTAGGAGACCTAGGAATCTTTAAATTTGATGGGCCCGCATTAACGGGATCACTCATCCATTCGCTACAAACTGATGCATCGTTATGAGGACTGGAAGGTGCTGAAAATGGAGCTTGGCTTCCATCTCCACTTGCAGCATCACTCAGTTCTTGCATTGCTATGCTACAACTTGACTCCTCAACTCTATCTACATTGTAGTTTGTTTGCACTAGATCTTTAGATTGTAGAGCACAAGGCTCCAAATCTTCTGCAGATTGCCACTCTTCAAATGATATAGGATCTTCAATTGGTCCAGAATATGACAATGGGCTCCCAACTCTAGATGTGGCTTGGATAGTTGAACATGTTGTTGTATCATCATTACAAGCAATGTTTTTTGTGAAGAAAGCAGATAGCTTAGGCTGGTTATTAACTTCACTTGCAAGCTGATCAAGCTGATAAGGAACCCCTGAAAACAACAAAACAATGATAGAAGAGCTCATAAGAGTAAACAAGTGGACAACTTGCTGGTTTGCATTAAAAATCAAGTCATAGAAATATAAACTTACAATTCAGAAGCTTATTTGCAGCGACAGAATCCAACACCCATGTGGGTTTGACAACTGGAAGTCCCCTGCTAAAGGACCTATATCAAATTCAAACCAATCTTAAAATAATCACAACTTCTATTTTCAGCAGAGATACAAAATAAGAAACTGATTGAACTTGGTTTTACAGCTGACCTTAAATTCTTGACCTTACTGTCAGGAAGATTACTACATATTATATGAGTAACACGACGCCTAGAAAAATAATTTTCAAAATGGCCTCCATGCTTCAACATGTATCCTCGAAGTTCCTGGAAAGACATTGTTGAAATCAATAAACTACAAGAGAAGCAACCTAATCTTCCATCTGAGAAAATCCAGTGACGTACAGAAAAGAATACGATAGCTATATAGTCAAGGTATTGATTACAATGAAGATGGATGTTTGAATACGGGTTTCCATGCAGACTGAAATGAACTCCTTACAAGAATACAAGTAATCGCTAGTCTCCCAATTCAAAAGTTAGAGAAGTTTTTTATTGATGAAACAGTATTCGACATCATTCATAGTTCAATTCAGGATCTTTTAAGTCGTAAATCTTGAAGCAACCATAACATATTAATCCCCGGCAAGAAAATCACATGAAATAGACCAGAAAGAAACCATAATGTAATAAACCTGACTGGAAGGAACCGTGTATCCATCAACAAAAATGGATACGCCCTGAAATATAGGTTTTGAAGAATTTGGACCACTGATAGAAGTGCTTGATGCCTCCGCCTCAAACTGCTCGTGAAGCTTCTGATTCTTGACGGCCATGTAACTACATCAAAGTTTTCAAAAGCCACAATAAGAAGATCAACACGAACTTTCTTTATTGATGAAAGTCTATTCAAAATCAATTGAAAACTAATTAATTTTCAAGATCGTGTATAAATATTCAAGATTGTATACAAAAATTCAAGATAATGTACAAAACTTTGCAAAATTAGTGCAAATAAAGAAATAAGTAATATTTTGCCTGCCAAAATTGGAGAAAGGTGAATTATTGAAGGCGGGACGAGAAGCAGAGCGAGAACTGGCACCCCAGGCCATGCCTAGGGTATTTTGACTCGTCTTCTTCTTGTTGTTGCTTTGATTGCTATTGTTACTCCTGTTGGAATTTGAGGTTCGTTTTGAATTGGAGCCGGAGTTGGCAGAGCGTGACGTTTCCTCCATGCTCATCTCCGATTTCTAAGAATTGAAATTGAATTGAAACGCTGATAATAGAAACTTAGAATTGTTATGAGTTAACTATACTGTTTTATACTAAAGAAATTGCGCATTAAAACGCGTCTCCCTCAAGCTTTATTTTTACGCTAATCGAATTTAGAATGTCTTCTTGTTAGAATTATTTATTTTTACGCTAAAAGGTTAAAGATTGAGGCGTCTCCCTCAAGTTTGTTTGTTTTTTTACGCTGTGGTTTTTTTTAATTATATTATAATTATAGTAATATGTAGAAAAATTATAGAAAAAATTACTTATATCTTTTTTGAAATCTATATATTATAATTACAATAATATTAATATATAGAAAATTTATTTCCAATTGATAATTGATACAATATTATGGAATTTTTTAAAAAAATTATATTATAATTACAATAATATATAGGAAAATTATTTTCAATTGATAAACATTGCACAAGTAATCATTAGAGCTAATGAATGTGATACCGTAACCACATTAAAACTTTGTTACGTTATATTTTACTTTTCAAGACAATTCTTTTTTAAATTAAATTTTCTCTCACTTTTTTCTTCAAATATATTACTTTATAATTTGTTTCAAATGTTTATACAATATCAATGCGTCATTTACCGTCTAACTTGGGAAACCTGAATTTCAAGAAATTCTATGCAGCAAGAAAATTGAAAATTGCATTAGATTATGGTGAGTTAGCACATTTAATGTTCGATGAATATATAAATTGTTGATATCTTTAAAAAAAATCATTGATTTTCATATATTTTCGCAAGGGGTATCTATTTTTCACGATGTAGCTATCTATCTATCTATATATATATATATATAAAATATTTGCATCCGCTAATATACAAATTCTTGATCAACTAATTCATATAGCTTGTTTCAAAGCCTTCAAATTTCTGTCACTTCAGCTCAAATATAATTTGTTTGTGGTTTGCTTTGTTGTAGTAGAAATATTTTTATTTATTTTTATTTTAATATTGAAAGTATTTATTAAAAAGTTGATTTCTAATTTCACAACAATAAAAATAACGGATCATGAAAGTAATTTTATTTCTACATATAATAAACAATTATCTTAATGTTAAATTCTAAATTACATTAATAAAAAAAATTGATACTGAACTCAAAATATCATGCCGCAAAAGTAGAGTTGTTTAAAATCAAATCAAAACCAATAATTCAAATCGGGAAAAAAATATTGATCTATCAGTAATGAGTTATTGGTTTATTAATTTCGGTAATGGTTTTGATTTTTTTTAATTATTGGTTTATCCATTCTTAACGGCTTGAGGTTTTTCCTTGATTGGTTAACTGATAACCCGATAGTAAATTAATAAATTATATTAATATCATTCGATATATAGAGTTCGTGACTTAGGGTTTAGTTTTATTCTTTTATTTTTTATTGTCTCATACTCTCGATTATTTTACAATATGTCGGTGTTTACTTTTGAGCAAAATGTAATTTGTCAACTCATTTGGTTTGTCACCTTGTTTTTAAGTGATTATCAATGATTTTTTGTGTGTGTCAAACTCAAATCTCAATGTTAAATCGATAACGATCAATAATTGATTAATTGATACCCGATAAGTTCATATATTAATTGTTCTATAACAATTTAGCATGTCTACGAACCGATAATCGATAACCAATAAGTCGAACCGATATACTTTAAAATCGAACCGAATCGACCAATATACAATTCTACCTAAGAGAAAACTTTGAATCTTACCCCCACAAAATAACCAATATACTTGTTTTTCTTTTTCCAATTTTTTTCCCTTTATTTATTTTTTAGTTTTTTTCTTCCTTCATATTTCTCAACATAGCCCCCTCGTCGTTTGACTCCTCATTTTTCTTTAGTTTGTTTTTAATATTCTTGAGAATTTGAATATTATGCTTTTTTTTTCTTCAATTTATCTCTATTAAATAGTTTATCATATTTGATATTTTAAAAATGTCCCATTGTACATGGAAATGAAAAATTAATATTTTTTAATCGTTCGATGAATATATTATCAAATTAATAATTTCTTGATAGTCAAACACCACTTTCCCTTTTAGTCATTAAATTTGAAATTTTCTTTAAATTAAATAAAAAAATATCGATACATCATTTTTAAGACTATTTTAATCAAGATACAAACTTAATAGTCGTCATATTATATAACATAATGCTAAAAATATGTTTAATCTTTAAAAGTATTTTTGTAGGAACAAAAAATTAACTACTCAAGTATATTTTATTTTAAATTAGTTTAAAATTTTCTTTCTAAAACATGTCCAACAAGCTTAACATTTATTATTGTTTGTCAGACGTTAACCAATAGACATACTTCATTTTAACACAATAACAAAAATATTCTTATGGACTTGATTTGTATTTTAACCTTCATTATTTGTTAGAAGTTAACCAAAAAAAGTAAGAGAAAATATGGAGTTTTTTAGATTTTCATTTTGATTATTAATTATACAATTACTATTTTATTCATAAATAAAGTTAAACTTACTAAAATGTAATTGATCGTCCTTTTATTGGTCTTTTATATAATAGAAATTACATATATACACCTTCCCAAAAATGAAACTAGTACAACCTTGATTTTAGATCCTAACACATTTGAGGCCCAAGAAAGAATTTAAGAACAATTTTTTTTCACATAGATAATATTGAAGATTATGAGGGGAAAGAAGTAAAATAAAATAAAATTATATTAGAATTTAATATACTTTTTAACCGAAGTTTAGAACTTTGAGTTAAAATGCGCAAATCTCTGTACCATTAAATTATTTTTTTACAATAATATTTAAGGTAATATATCACAAATATATGGTTAACATTTTTATTAAATTCTTATGATTGTGAATAATATCATTATTATATAAAGATAAATGCATGTCTTTAAGAATATTACGCTAAAAATTAATATAAAAACCCCACAAAAATCAAATCGCTTAATTCAAACCACCATTTTTCTTTTTCCTTTTTGGAAAAGGACATATTTAAGGCATACTCGCTGAGCTCTTTATATAAATATTATATATTCGTTCCATACTATGTGCACTCATTTCATTCCAAAAATTAACGTGGTAACAAGAATTATATTTCTGGATGATCAATGCATAATCCACCAATGATCCATCTTAAACCTTTTTGATTATCCTATGTTCGAAATGAACTCAAAATATATAACATTATAGTTAATATATTTTGTGCTCAAAATTAACTCAAAAAATACTACATTCTAATTAATATATCATCGATTCAAAATTAACTCAAAAGATATTTACATTATGGTTAATGTACATAGTGCGTTGAAAAGACATCGCTTCAACCATTCTCCAAAAATCACGGTTTAGAAATTTATATCATGATTTGGAATTTTTTTAAATATAAAAATTGGTCCACAAGTTTATATTTTATTAAAACAACCCCATGTTATTTCATATATAAATAAAATTTATAATCATATCATTACTTTTAAAATTTTATTATTTATTACTTTAAATCAATTCCTACTTTATCATTTATATTCATCAAATTCATTATTCTTTATCAAATTTATTACGACTACTTTAATGCTTAATAAAAAAAATGGTTTTTCATCTATATTGAGGTGGGTGCTATATTTCCTAAATGTGATTTTATCATTCTAAACTCGATTCTGAACGATTTTCACTAGATTTCTACCCGGGCACCTTCTAATTACGTTTTTACTATTAATTCATCATTTAATTAGTGATTTTATGAAACTAAGGAGTAATATGATAGGAATAATTTATCTCACCCCTGGTGTTTATAGAAAAAATGATATCTTATGACCTAAGAAACTTTCAAGTGTAAAAATAAAAACATTTCTTATAGAAATGACTTAAAATTAAAACTGAATTTATTAAGCACTACAAAATCATTCCTCCATGATATTATAGGATTAATTATACCACTTTTAACATTATAACTAGGGAAACAAGAATTAATTAAAGACAAGAGGAATGGAGTCCACGAATCCCCTTCGAACTGAAAAGAGTAACACTTTTTCCATTTCCCCAGAAGTTGTACAATTTCCAACACCCAGCAGTGCTACATTTCAAACCTGCTGCTACCTACTGGTTTTGATCATGTCTTTTTAGTTTTTACATCCAAAAATGGGGGCTACAATACATCAACCCACCAAAACAAGAAAACGGAGAGCAAAGGGATTGTTCATTGGGTAATATTATTGTTCATCATGGCGGCAGGTGACCAAAAATCAGCGCCGTTGAGAGTAGTATCAGCTACATGGACAGTCAGCTCTACTGGGATTAGACAAAGTCCTTTGCTCCTCAGCAACACCTCATTTTCCGTTTCTCCTCCCTCCTGTGTCACATTAATTTATAACATCTTAAAAAATAATTACATATGTATTTATCTGTTGTTATGATCAGGGTGTCTAGACCGAGCTCGGGTGCACCTTCACTATTTTTGCAAGGTAGCTGTTACCTCTTCTCATCATGATATGTATTGAGTAATAAAGAAAAATAAAAAGAAATTAACTCATGGCTACCTCTACCATAAGAGGTCATGGTCGCAATTCATTTTATTTACTACTAGGTTACACCTAAATATATATTATTATAAGTTTAATTGTGGTCATGTCAATTGAAAGTTAGTTAAAATAACCAAATACACAAACTTAATTTTACGTAAAACACCCTCGTCACTTGGTACAAGTTTGGCCAAAAAAAGTTACTACTACTATTCACTTTTTTTGTGAAATAATTTCATTCTATTTAAAAATGATGAAAATTTCATATTCTTAACTCCAAGACAATAAAAAGGGAGGCCCGGAAGGAAAGGGAGGTTGTTGTACTAGTAACTAGTCCAGTAGTAAAAGAGAGGACTTTTTAGTGAAAGTGAATTGGTCAAAAATCAAAATGAAAGTACTTACACGTAAAGAGGGAGTCTGTCTCTGGCTCTGGCTCTGACTGTGGCGCTGCAAGTAAGGAGAACACAAGACGTGAACCTGATCGTGCAAAAACCTGATATATCCCATCGCTTCATGTAGCACTGATGCTGTATCTGTCTGCACTTTCACATCCATTTTAATGTCACCATATTAATCTTACTTACCACAATTAAATTACACAGGAATTCAAATGAACCTTGCCAAAGGGAGATACAAGTTGTTGTAATGCTGTGATTCTTTCACCAAGCTTCTCTTTCTTAACCTGCAATTATTTTTTATTATTGTTTAAAATTACAAAGAAGAAATTGAGATGTGACTCATCTGTTTTCTGACCTTTGCCTGAGTTGTCACATTTGAATTTTCTACCATCTTTGTCCTCTTGCAATTTCTCTGATTTCCACCTTTTGTTTTTTCAACTGATTCTCTCTCTGCCCCATTTCGCTTTTTCTGCACAAAGGACAAATAATCCACAAACCCAAAAAACCAACTCTCTCACACTAAAAAATAAACAAAATTAAAATGCTTACATACATTGGAGTTGTTAGGCTTGCTGATGTTGCTACTTGAACAAGCAGATGGTGAATCTCCACTGCATTTGAGTTCAGATTTTGGGGTTTTTTGTTCTGGTGTTTGTACAGAACAAGTTTCAAGTACAGGAGTATCAGTACCAAAACAGAGCATTTTTGGGGAAGATGAAGTAGTGAAATTGAAACATCCTGCTAGGCCATCATTGTCGTCGGCAAATAGTAGTTCTGAATAGGTTCCTCCATCCAGTGAATTCTCTTCTTCACCCGCCATTGCTCTATCTGACACTAGCTCTGCTGATTTCTAATGGAGAAAAAGGGGGGATTTGTTTATGGGAGTAAACGACGGAAGCTTCTTTTAAAGTTATTTTTTCCTAACATGGACGGGACAAACATAGATATATGCACTCTGTTGTTTTCTTTTTTGGTACATTTTAAATTATAATATCAAAATATATATTCAAATAAATAAAAAGGAAAATAAAGAGGGAGTTCCACGTAACAAGAATAATGAGTTTTGAAATAAGGACGTGTCTGTCGTGTAAAATTGAGTGGAGACGTTACGGCCGTTGCAAAAATGAATGGGGACTTTAGCTTCGGTAGTATCGTCGCTACTGTACTGTATTGTCTCAGTCAAACAATTCACCCGAGAAACCGTGCTAACCTTCTCTCGTCCACACTCCCAAAGTTTTTGTTTTGGGCTGGTTTTTATTTGATCATAACACTCGTTATGAATGAAGGGGTAGTCATCAATAGTCCTTATTATTACTCTCACCGTCCATTTTTAGTTATTATGATTTTCTTTTTTAAAATTAAACAATAAAAAAATTGACTAAAATTTTATGATATATTTTTTTGTTATGTTATTATGCAAAAAAAATTACAATTTATTATTTTTTTGTATAGTTTTTGAATATCTAATTTATTTATTTTTTAAAAATGAACGGAAGAAGTACTTATAGAGGTTTGGTGTTTGGCCATTTTATTTTTAAAAAATACATACACAAGTGTTGTTTTATTTATCAATAAAAAAAATTAAATTGATTAGTCAACTATTAAATTGCTATTTTCCAATATTTCTAATTTAAATATTTGACTAAACAAGCTACTAGGATAGAAAGATATGGAGGTTGAAAATTAGGTATAGGATTAATAAATAGTCAAGTATATATAATATGATTTAGGTATCACATAGTTTTTTTTTTCTCTTCTAAATGTATATTAATATCATTTGCTACACGTATTTTGTACATTACTCCGTCCATTTCATATTAATTGAATTGTTAAGGTGTTTCACACCCTTTCAGAAAAGAAGATTAAGACATAAATTAGGTTTAACTTTCCATTTTTACCCTTATTAATTATTATCAAAATTATGATTAAAATAACTAAAAATTAATTAATAACTAATTCTAATACTAACTAATGAAGGGTAAAATTGGAAAAACATTCTAAAAGTAGTCTTGAAAATTGAACAATTAAGTTAATTTGAAAAATGAAAAATGTCTCAACAATTCAATTATTATGAAATGGAGGGAGTACTATTTTATATCTCTTTTTCTTTCTTATATTCCCTCCGTCCCATTTTATATGTCACCTTTTTACTTTGCATTTGCATTAAGAAATGATGTAACTTTACCCTTCTATCCTTATTTAATTTTTTTGGAACTCAAGTTTTCAATCAATGAATATGAATTAATTTATTTTGATTAATTAATTTAACCAATAAACATGAATCATTTACTTAACTTTTCTAAGTTGGTCAAATTTCTTGTTTTCAATGCTAATAACTCATAAGGATATAAAAGGAACAATATGCTAATATATGTATTGATTTTATGAAATGACAAGTATTATGAATTAACTATTTATAAAAAGAGTGACATATAAAATGGGACGGAGGGAGTAGTTTCTTCCATTAATTACATCTTTTCTTAATAGAAGGTCTACCGAAGTCTTCCTACCCCATATAAATTAAATACAGGTTAAACCAGTCCATTTCTTGGAAAAGTAATAGGATGGAAAACCTTCAAATAGCATAAACTCTTTACTGTTTGATACTCAGACCCCAAGAATGGAAAGGACATTATTCAATTGAGTCTACAATCTAATTAACATTTTTAAGTAAATAAACAATATTAAAAGTACTATTAATTGAGTATTCAAATCGCATAGAATTACGTTCAGAACGGTGATTTTTGCACGTGGACAAGATTATAGAAGTCGAGGCAAATCTAAGACAATGTTTGACAAGTGCAAGAAAGGGATCAATATACCGTATATTTTAAGGGAATTGCAGTTTGTGAATGAGTATGCATAAATTGTTCATATTTTATGATTAATCCATATTTGACCCACTTTTAAATGATGGAATAACTCATCTATTTAAAATGGATTGGTTCAAGCCGCTCACGGGGATAACCATAAATTTTACTCCGCCCCTAAAATATATAGTTAGAAATCGTAAGAATTACGCAGATTGCTGCCATAACAGATAGTGCATAGGGCTATGTACCAACTACACGAGGAAACCAGAGCCAGACATTTTAGCTTCTTTGGACGATGCAAAATTGGTCAATCTCTAAGTTCGATTAAACTTCTACTCTCTGCTGGTCCAAAACCCAAACACTTGACCTAGTGTTAAGTGCATGTAAATGAGCAAGATTATAGTACTAATATATATATATTTGTTCGATACTCATGCTCTAAAGGCTGCAATAGATTCGAATACAACTAAAGGCAGCTAATTAAGGATCCAAAAAGATATCATTACTCTTTTTTTACCTTACTTTAGTCATTCCTGTTGCAGCTATTTGATCTTTGGAGCAGATTACTACATTCCGCGATCAAGAAGACACAATTAAAAGCAGGCGCGATTAAATACACTCAACTCAAACCTTGATAGAGTTATAAATTTTTCACCCATTGTCACCACTTACCGCCTCCATGTTGCCTTCAGTTGTCCATGGAAGCAAGGCGCTAAAGCAGGAACTAACTAATACATATACAGACACGAACTTCACTGCTACAAATCACCCGAAACCTCTTCATCCGACTTGTAGAAATGACTGCTCAACAGACACTACATATGCATACATTGAAAAGAAAGAAGAAACATAATGATAGAGATGTAAAATCACACTTTTCTAAGCAGGGAACTGGGAAGTAAGGCTACAAGTGCTTTTCCATTTCCCATGGCATTCCCACATCCTCTATATTTCTTCATTTTAGAACATACCATCTTTAATAAAATAAATTACATCAAAGTGACAGAAATAAAGCCACCTGTTCTTCCTGAAGAGAGACAGAGATAGAGAGGAGGGAGGGAGGGGGAGGGGGTGTAAGAGGATGTTATTCACGTACAAGATGAGGGAAGGGGAAGGGGGGGGGGGAGGGTGTAAGAGGATGTTATTCACATACAAGATGAGGGGAGGGGAGGGGGGGGGATGAAAATTAATCTAAGTCTCATAGAACTAAATTCTAAACAGGACATAACTAATGAGTAGAAGACAGATGGCATCACCTATGAAGTAGAAATCAAGGTGCCTAGGATTGACAAGAACACGGATTGAGCCTAATATACCAATGCATATTTGCATCTTGACAAGTGAACTTTCATTGTAAGCACTATGCACTATTTTGATCAGCACAATTGACAAGTGATTTACGAAGAACTAGCAAATAAAGTTTGTTCCTTCCTCAGTTTTCTACTATCATCCCCGACTAAACTCATCAAGGGAAACCGCTGCTGCATTTCTGTAGGAACAGGACCAGCACAACTTACACTATTGTTTGGTTTTCAAAAAAAGCATCTATCTATTAAGAAGTGAGAAAATAAAGAAATGAGGACACTTCCTATAAAAGCACATTGGCATGTAATGGAATGTGCCTCTAATATAGTAAGCATTTCAACTTTCACTAATTCATGAACCTGAAGAAAATTAGGATGCTTTGTTTGATATATCATATAGAAGAAACTACAATCTATGAAGTTAATTCTACCAGCTGCTGAATATCTCTAACAAAGTAGAACTTAATGTGATATTGATCTGGCACTTTACATCTCTGTAGTGCTAAACACAACCAGATCTAGGAATGATAGATATGTTGAAAATCAGCAGTTTGAAGTTATATTATCAAAGATTTCCAATAAAACTAGAATTCACACACTTATTAAGCCCTAATTAAAGCAAAATAATTTAGCCATTTCATTGTCCAACATATAACTTCTCTCCATACTGAAGGAAGCTTCAACTTTGTTGTTAGATACAAAAATACGACCCACAAAAGACCGAAGAGAAACCTGGGTAGAGCAAAGAACATGTCTGCAATTGTTTTCTTTAGTGTATACACATTTCATGCTATACCAATGATTCTGAAATTGGAACCAGATGGTAACTTATGATCCTATACACATTCTCCCCTAGCAAGATTCATGTGCAAACTATATGTGAGAACCATCTCAAAACACAAAGCATACAGCAGCGCCCTAACAATACTTAGAGACGCAATAATGTAAGGTGATTAATTATGCCAAGAGTTGGCCGGCTTCAGATTTAATTGTTTAACCTCTTAAAGTCTTACAAAGCTACCTTTTCAGGATCAGTAACTCTTCAGGACTAAAACTGACTATACAACTGAAGTCTCTCCAACATGGGTACATCTTAATACAATAGTGTAGTTCAACACCATATAATATACTGCAAGACTCTAAGTGACACTAACACCTCATAAAAACTGGAGATCATACACTGTGATAGTGACGTATAGTTTGTAACCAGAAAGTGACAATAAATAAGGTGTCTAACTATCATAACAACCAGAGACTATCATCGTGATGCACCTCGCTATTAAGTAAGACGATTGGCTTCAAAAAGTTTGGTAAATCAGTAAATGTGTTGGGTTTCTAAAGCCCCATTTATGTGCAAAAGAAGAAATGAGTCTTCAAGCATCTGTCCACCCATTTCCTATCAAAGTACTTGTCCATCACATGTGAAAGTTTGACTCGACCTGATTTTTATCATAGATAGATCTTGGACTTAAAGCCTTCAAAAATAAAAAAGATACCTTACTAAAAATTACGTAGTTATTTCTCATGAATTCTATTTTGAACAGTTATTATCAGAACTTAACTACATTTGCAAAAGCTACCGCCTTCTGTATCCTAATATCAGAAACACAAGATTATGAAGTATCAGAAACTGTATACCAATTGTCTATGAATATCCCAATTTAAAGTACAAGCAAGAAAGAAAGAGCAACAAACGAACAAATCTCTTAGTGAAATAGTAACAAACAGTTGGTAGACAAGCCGGACATCAGTCAGAGCATATATTTTTCAAGCGATCCGCCGCAGATTGGTCCACCGAATACTGAAAAACAACAAGAAATCGCACAGTGGTCTATCAATTACTCGATCCAATTCAAAATAAACGTTAAAAAAACAACGGTGCTACTAAATTGTACAATTGCTAGACCGCAAGTCCCTCTATTTTAGTGCTAATGGATACCTTTTTGAGGACCCAGAGGGAATGATTGTAAGTTCGTTGAAGGAGTTCTTGGAGAGCATTTGGATCATTTGAGTCGATTTCTCTGTAGTTGACGAAGTTTTCTCGGGCGTATTTTGCGTAGTAAGGCCGTGAGTCCTTGGGAAGTTGCCTCACCAGCCTCAGCACTTCCCTGTAAGCACCTATAGCTTTCTGCATTTCTTGAAGAATCATTTAGCACCGATCCTAATTTGCAAAAAAAAAATTCGCCTCTTCTCCAAGCTATCTAATGCGCAGTGATATAATTTTCCGAGTCGTGAAGCCTTATGGATCGGGTCCAGATTTAGTGCCGGATTATTGTTGAACCATTGACGCAATGCTACATTAAATTAAATTGAAAATAAAAAATATAAAGCAAGTTTTTTTCCAAATAACAAAGGCAAGAAACATAAGTTTTGTCAATCTGGTAAAATTTATGAATATTTAACCAAATATATAGAATGAAAGATTGTATTTAAAGTTATGTTCAATTGAAACTTGATATAACTTGTGAACCATTAATAAGATATATAAAAAATTGTATCTCATTGACATAATTTATGAGAATAAGATAAGATCTGTCAATTTCATTGAACTCCTAAAAATTTAGCAAAATAAGTAAAAGTTGAATAATATTTATATTAAAATTTTGTCCCGCCAGACATAAATTGTGAAACTGGATTTTTTTTCGTTCTTATGAGTTATGAATATGTAACATTAGTCATTAGATTATTATAGTTTTAATATTTTAATATTAACGATATTTAAACAGTGCCAATTATACTATTTGTGCAAAGTATCTAGGGTGTTCACGGGTCGGTTTGGATCGGTTATTGACTAAAATTAAAACCAAACCAACTTAATCGGTTTTAAAATTATCAAAATCAAATCAAACCAAATATAATATACATTTATCGGTTGGTGGTTATCGGTTTCGGTTTGGTTTGGTTATTCGGCTATTAACCATACACAAAAATAAAAGAAAAAATTCATTCAAAATATGAAAAAAGTGACAACAATCCATTCAAAACAAAAAAAATAGTTAGAATGACTGAAATTATTGAACTTTCGATCACTTAATTTATTATGATTAAAGCTTTAAAACTCACTATATTGGCTTAGAAGGAAGAAACATTAACATTTTCAGTCCACAGAGAATTATCATAGACACTCTTATACATGAAATCAATAAAATAAATGTTTTCACCTTGGACATTTTTGCTTTCAATAAGTAAATTCTAAAGAAATTATAATGAAAACATATAAGATCTTTAAAATTATTTATAAAAATAATATATTAAGTATGTATATTAATAAAATGTATGTATATAATTTATCGGTTTGGTTCGGTTATTTCTTTGATTTTTTTGAATAAAACCATAACCAAACCAAACTCAAATAAAATTGATTTTATTTTATCGATTTGGTTCGATTTTTCGATTTGGGTCGGTTTTTATCCAAACCGTGAACACTCCTAATCATGAGTGAGGGCCAAAACCCAACATGGTACTGGGCCTAATGTATTTCTCCACTACAAGGCTGGCTCAGTTTAATTTGGTTAGCTACTCCTAGTCTCCTACTATTAGGATTTGGCTCCCTCCATTTTGTTTTATTTTTTTAGAGTTCTTATTAGAGCAATTTTAGGTTTAGCAAACATAAAAATTATATTTGCATGATATAACTATAGTTTGTATAATTGCGCTCCATAATAAATTTTATGTTTGCTATGGCTATTAATATGTATATTTCGATATACATATACAAAAGAATCAATTGTATAATCTGTTTTGGTATACATATACAAAAGAATCAATTTATAATTTGTTTCGGTATATATATACAAAAGAATCAATTGTATAATATGTGTTTGTATAAAGCGAGAAAGAGAGAACGACAAAAAAATTGGGCAAGGGAAGATCTGTATTTGTATAATTATAAGTGTATAGGACGAAAATATATGTATTTGTATATACAATTTTCTCTTGCTTTATACAAACACAAACGCAATTTATACATTTGTGTTTGTATAAAGTGAGAGAGGCGAGTGAGAGTGACGAGCGAGATTCTTTGAGGAGAGAGGCGAACGAAAAAATATGTATATTTATAGTTTTCACTTACTTTATACAAACACAAATGCAATTTATACATTTGTGTTTGTATAAAGTGAGAGAGGCGAGTGAGAGTGACGAACGAGATTCTCTGGGGAGAGAGGTGAACGAAAAGATATGTAGATATATAATTTTCACTTACTTTATACAAACACAAACACATTTTATACAGTTCAACAGTTTGCTACGAGTTACAATTAAATCAAACTGTGTTTATAGCATTTAATTTGAATTAATAATTTGCTATTTTATATAATTTTCCCTTCTTATTTTCTTATTAAATGGACACGTGTCTATTTTAATTAGTAGTATAACAATTTCGATTTAATTGCTTTTAGCCATTAAACATACTTAGGATAATATATATTTAATTTTTATGTTCCACACGATATATTTAATAAATTATTAAAGCATTTGATACATTATTGATGTCTTTAAATTTAAGATCAAAGAATTTAAAAATTCTTAAATTATTTTTTAATTAAATTAAGACGAACAAATTAAAATCTATATATGCTTTACAATATTTATAACTCTATTTTTAATGAAATCACATGCACTTTCGTGGACTACAAGTTTACAATAACATATATGCATGGAGAATTCAACTTTATTCCCCTGGAAAGAAAAAGAAATCGTTCTAAAAATTAAGCCGTGAAAATCTACCGCCAATTAATTGACAGAGATAGTACTAGAAATTAACACGTCTATTTCACGAGAGTCCTTACTTCGTTTTTAGGAACTGAGCGTGGAATATAGTATACCGTAAAAGCCAGTTGCATGTATATTTGTGATAGGCGGCGGATTCAAAATTTCCATTATAAGAATTTGAAAAAAATAAATATAGTGATTGAGATCTGAGCTAATTGGAATCTTAACGTGAAATTTGAATTCCTAAATAATCGAAACAATCTATATTTCTATATTTAGGAGTTCAAGATCACTACTACAAAAATAATTTTTAGTAGCAATAAATATACACATCAATATAAATAGTGATAAAACTTTCACAAGCATTGTTGATTGACATTGGATTTAATGTCGCTATAAGCTTTAGGAACTTTTATAAAGAGTGTTAATCACCACTAAAAATATATATTTAGCGGCAATTAAACTATATTATTGTTAATTAATTATCGCTAAAGATTAATTTTGATCTATATATATACATAAGTTTTTTTAAAAAAAATAAATACTTATATGTATATATTTTGTAAAATAAATTTAGATGAACAGTCTTCTGCCCCTGGACCCTTGTGAACTCCCCAATTCATGATAATGACTTATAAACCATTATCTTCTCATACAATATTGAAAACATATACTTATTAAATTTATGTTGCCCTCGTCGAAACCCATGTCTCCGTTTTGTCATTGAAACATGAAAGGTTGCTAACTCTCCACACACTCTTTCTAAATTCTCATAGAAATTTGGCATATCTGCATGCATGACTCCGACGTCCCTCCTATTTACACCACATAAGTCTCTATCCTAATTAACTAATAGTACCCTAAGAAAAAAACAATATTTGTATGTTTCCCCAATAATTCTTCTCTCCAAATACAAATCAAAATAGAAAAATATTAACCAGAAAAAATCTTTTAAACATATATGGAACATTTAATGCAATAAATTATAACCGCTAATTCTTTCGAACAAAATTACCTCCATGTTGGCCACTCTCTCTTCACTCGTTCACTTTATAAATTCTCACTTAGCTCCCACACAAGTATAACCTTAAAACTTTCAAAAGCAAAATTAAGACACAACAAAATCAAACACAAATCATGGATGTTTGGTCTTGGATATGTGAACTTCTTGACTCAGAAAAATGGAGTATCGAGAATGATGATTACTTTCTCATTTATAATCTTGCTACTTCCATAACCAATTCCAGTCAGTCAATTCAATTCAAAGCTGAGAAAAAACTTGACCCTAATAACACAGAGACAAATTCTTCATTGGTTTTCTCTATATGTTTGTTGGGGTTTCATGACGCCTCTCAAGAAGAGGTGACCATCTGGGTTTCTGACACATGTCCTCTTTCATCGGACAAGCCATTCTTGCCACTTGTTCTACAACTTCTTCAAGAAATCATCTCGCGTTCACCAACTGCGCATGATAGCTCATGCCCACGTTCGCAGCTTCAGAAGCTCCAACCCGACCCGGTTTCATGGATCCTCGATTCCCACTCACCGGAATCATTCTCAAGCTTCTTCAATCTCATCTTCCTCACGCGACTTTTCTGGATGTTTGCGTTCGACGCGCCGGCGGCGGTGGGGTCTCTTTATTTCCACTCGCTGCTAGCTCCGAACCTTGAAGCCTTCTCGTGCAAGCACGCGCCTGTTCTGCGAACCTTCTTTATAACAGTAGGGACTGACGTGGAACTTTGTTTCATGCGCACGTTTGGGTACATGTTAGCAAAATGGTTGATTTTAAGAGAAGTTGGCGGCGTAGGATTAAAGTCGTTAACGCCGTTAGCATCTCATTACTTAGGATTTTCATACGCCACGGAGGCTCACGGGTTATGGATGTTAAAAGGATACGCGCCTGTAAAGGCAATGAAACCCACGCGCATGAATTTTGACAAATTTCAATTTCCTGTTATTGAATCGAAAGAAATTGCACTAAAATATACACTGGCCCATCAACAGCTTGAGGCTGTGATACAGTTTGAATATACAGTTGGATTCTATGATGGGTTTATCCAAGTTAGAGCCCGTTTGGATAACATACGTCTTGGTGTGGCAAGATTGGGCTTTAACAAAAATGATGATGAAGAAGATTCTTATTTGCAAGAGAAGCATTTTCCATCTAGGATTCGAGTTTGGGTTGGGCCAGAAATTGGTGCTAATTATGTTGGCGGGTTAAGTTTGGGCCGGTCCACTAACAACGTCGAACGTGAATTTGAAATGCAAAGGGTCTTAAAGGGCAATTTCGGAAACTCAAAACAACCAGAAGTGAAGACAAGGGCAAAGATGGCAACAAAATCAAAGATGAAAAATTGGAGGTGGGACCAAGAAGCGGAAGGGAATGCAGCTGTCTACGAAGCGATATTATATGACCACATGTCAGGGTGTGAAATCGCCACGTGGAAGCCGGTTAACGGGGATGATAATAATAATCAACTTATGAACAATTTTAGAGGAAGATATTTTGGAGGGAATAGGGCATTTAGTAAGAAGGGTGGTTTGGTATTTGCTGGGGAGGAATGTGGTGAAGAAGTAGGATGGAGATTGAGCAAAGAAATGGAAGGAAGTGTGTTGAAATGGAGGGTAGGGGGTCAAGTATGGTTAAGTTATTGGCCAAATAATGTAAAAAGTTCATATTACGAGACTAGGCTTGTGGAATGGTGTGATGAGGTAGATTTGCCTTTGATTCCTGGGAAAATATTTTAGGAATTAATAGTAATATATAAGTGACTTATAAGTACCAACTTCATGTAATACTAATATATTGTGTAAGCTTGTGTATATTATGTATATTTATGGGAATAGTAATATATATATAAGTGACTTATAACTACCTATTTCATGTAATACTAATATGTTGTGTAAGCTTGTGTATATTATGTATGTTTATGGGAAATAAAGCTATCATATTTTGATGAAGTATGTGCAAACTTCTATTTTTATTTTTGGATATATGTTTATGGAAAATAACGCTTGTCGAATTAATAGTCACATTATGAACGTCAATTCAACCAAAATATGTCCACAAAAATTCAATATTATTATAAAGCTTATTTTGAGTGGACAACTTAAGGCCGGGACAAAGAATATAGATTGAGAAGATCAATTCGATAAGAATTGTTAATCTAACAGTAAGAATTTGGACAAGTTACATATTTGGCAGGTCAATCAAAAATAATTACAATCGTTAAATATATATAAAAAATATATCATTTTGTAATATATATATATATATATATATATATATATATATTATATATAAATATATATATATAAAATATAAATCTATATTTACTGATTATTATTTTTATGGATGACTATTGCCTATTTATTTTAATTTTTAAGAAAATCCCTAAATTCTTTTCTTAAAAAATTGCTATAAAATAAGGTAGAAGTTACATTTTTCTTGCATATGGCTATACAATGTTCTCCTTTTCTTTTACAGGTGTTATCAATTATGTTTACAGCTTCAAATATTTTTCCTTAAATACCTGAACTAAAGCTTGAGCCAAAGCTGATTGGTTTTGGTCATTAGAGTGGGACATTTGTACATTTTGTGATTTTGCCTAAAGCTTCAGCTAGAGTTGGTTGATTTTGATTATTAGAGCGTGATATTAGTATATTTTTGATCTCTAATAGAATAAAATTTTGAATTCATGTTTTTTATAGCATTATTGCATCGTTTTCAAAGGTGCGTTCAAGACGAGTTTTGAAGTGGGACGTTAGACGTACCAAAAATACTCCAGGACAAAAATTTAAAATGTAGATTTAAAATCCAAACGAGACTTTAGTTTGGAAAACAAATATTCACCATATGGGGGACTAGTTATGTAATTAATCGTACTCCCTGGTTTCATTTGGGCGAGTACACGTTCATTTTCCTGGTCAAGCGCAGCACCATAGTATAACCCTAAACCCTAATCTAAACCCACAAAGACCAATTTGCTGTGTTTAGAAGAAATCCACAGAATTCAGCAGCTATGGCTTGGCGTGGTTCCGTCACCAGATCACTCGCTTCCGTCGCTAGAGCTTCCACTTCCCGTTCATCTCCGACTGTTAACCGCGTTCGCACTCCTCCGATCTCCGCCCCTCGTTCCAACACGCGCCGCTTCTCATTTACCAGTCCCAGGTCTTCTATTTAACTTTTTTCAAACTTATTGCGTATTGGAACGGAATGTATATCAATAGAGAGGACTAAATGTATAAAATTTAACTAGCGGACTCCAACTAGTTTGGGATTGAGGCGTATTGATTGTTGTTATTGAATGGTGAGATAAAACTAAAATTAGATGGGAGAATTATAGTAGAATGAACGTGGAAGATTTGTACTGATCCACTACAGCTAGTTTGTGATTGAGGCATATCAATTATTGTTATTAAATGTGAAGTTAAACTAGAATTAGATAGGTGAAATATAGCAGAATGGACGTGGGAGATTCACACTGACCACTGCAGCTAGTTTGTGATTGACGTGTTTTTTTTTTGTTAAGAATCCCATCAATATGAGTATTACTTTTCCTAATCAAAAAAAGAATTTCCATCAATATTGTATTTCACATTTGTTTCCTCACAAGTTTTTATTATTATTATATCTGATTAGGACATTGGGAGCTTTGGGGTGTACTCAGTCATTTTTGCCGCTGCATAATGTGGTGGCTGGAACTCGATTGACTTCTCACTTGACAGTTAACGTGCGGGCTTGCTGCGAGCTGTATCATGGTACCTTCCAACGTTCTTGTCAGGATCGCTAGTAGTTTCTTTGTGAGTCTTGTTCCGTTTTAGGATAGAAGAATAAGATGATTTTGTTTGGAAAGAAGTTTTAGACTTTGTTTACATGATTGTGTCTTCTGCATCTGGAATTGCTCTTTTCAGCATGCTCTTTGTGCATAGTGAGAATGTTGTTTGCTTTTTCATTGGTGAACTCGAGGGGTGTTCTAGTTAAATATTGCTTTTGTTTGTTGATATTGGTTGATAAAAAGGACTTGGGGATTTATAGGGAGGAATGGAAAAGATGGGTGATGTCAGCAGCACTTCCAAACCTCCAGTGGGACATTTTGCAGCATTGTAGGTTTCTTATATTCCACCTTCTTTTTTTATGGTATTTGATTGATAATATAATACATCTTAAGTTAGCAATTCTGCATTGTTGATGAAAATAAATATGCATCAAGTGGGAGAAATCACAGGTCTTCAGAGTTTGAGAGGCGTTATATGAAATAGATAGTCATTTGATCCGTGGGAGCTATTCATATGTCCATTCGCCTTGCAGTTCTCTTTGTTTTACTCTTCTTTCTTATGCTAAACCTTCTCATACCTGTTTTCTGCATAGTAAAATTTGATCTGTATGATCAAAGCTGTTTCGTCAATTTAAGCGTAGCATAATCATTGGTGTTTAAGGAACTAATAGGCTCGAGCCAATTTTTGTCTTTCTGCTCTTTTCTAGTTTTACTACACCGGTGTAAATTGAAAGTTATTTCCCAAATATTCCTATTCATTTTGTAGTATCGGAATAACAAAAATTACCTCATAGTTTAAGACAGTTTCTTCTTATTGGTGTAAATTGAAAGTTATTTCCCAAATATTCCTATTCATTTTGTAGTATGGAATAACAAAAATTACCTCATAGTTTAAGACAGTTTCTTCTTATTACAAACTGTAGATCTGTAAGTAGTTCAGTCAAAGTGTATGATGCTGTAGTATTGTTCAAGAGGTGATCTGTGAATGGGAGACTTCAGTTCAAATGTTTTCCATGGACCAGTGACATAGCATAGTGGAGTTATCAAGAGTTAACCTAATTGGTAATCAATTGGCATAGCAATCAGAGAGACATCACGGAAGTAATCTAAAGGGAATTAAGATTCAAAACAACACTCAAATATGTTGGGAGGGACAGGAATTCACTGCTGGGGGTGACTACTCTCTTATGACAAGTTGGAAGATGATCTTTATCACGTAATGGATTTCCTATCTTTGAGAAGTTCCTTTAGTGCCCACTCGTGGATGGTTGGATTCAAATTCAATCAGATAAGATGCAACATAGGAGGATTGGATGCAACTATATGGTCTAGCCATTTATTTGTTACTGACAAGCAAGTAAAATAAGCCATATGTTAAGCCAATAAAATGTAACTAAAACATTTAGGTGAGGGAGATGCCCCTGGGTGTGGGATGGCAGGTTGTGAGATGGTTCACAATAGGCAGTGGTGGTTTGAAAAAAAGCAGATGGTCAAGACTGTTGTATTTTACTAGTAATCTCTAATAGAGACCTTGTAAGAGTTTACAGCACCAAATAGTAAGATTTGGAAATTCAAGATGTTTCTTGCTTATTGCTATCAAGCACCTATATACAACAGGAGGCACCAATGTACAAAAAATGGTGAAAAGTCCCTCATTCCCAGTTGATGCTGTTGTGGTGAAAAGTGTGTACATAGAGGTGAAGATGAAGCTTTGTTGGCCTACCTAATCCCATCCTGTGGAATTATCTTAGTTGGGTTCAAGAGGGATTGTAAGGTCAGACAAAACATATTTAATCAGTCAGCATCCTAGTTCTCTTCTTGAAATTAAGTGTGCACACTAGGGATGCCCCTAAAACTTGTAAACTTGGAATTGGAGGTTGTTGCCCCTAATACAAAGACACACTTACATTACTTCAATGAATCTGAATAGAACAAGTTATAATTTAGAAGCAAAAACCAAAGAACACAGGAGTTCATTAGACTTTATAATATTTATAGAAATAACAACTCGATGAGAGAAAAACAGAAATAACAAAACACTAGTTGGGGGAAACTGGAGAAGGAAAGAATTAGGACCTAAGAAAGTTTCTTCGTTCTTTTGTTTTTAGATAAGTGGAAAGTCTATATTGTACAAAACCTAAACTAGCAGACCTCCATGTAATTCTGAACATCATCATCTATTGAGCCTGCAGTCCACATTTTCCCATCATTTGTGGACTGCAGACCAAAATCAATCACCTTTCTCTTATTAGCTTTCTCCTTCAGGTCATTTGCCTGGTAGAAATTTAGTTTAAATTAGTGCTAGAATCACTCAAATCCACTCAGAGTGCTGTAATATAATGTACTACTTCTGATCCAGATGCATAGTTACCTCGCTTTATAGGTTTGAGTGCTATGTGGTGTGCTTCCTTCAACAAGATTTCTTTGTCAAAGAGTACCAGCACGTTTCCATGTGTTTTTGATGGTGGACCTAAATTGCATGAGTTGCCTTTGAAACCTGGCAGTCTGGCACTACTAAAATTGCTTTAATAGTTCTATAACTTGCATTGACTAACACAGATACCACATGATTTGTATCTAACAGGTACTTGAACACAATTAATGGAGCAGCACAAAGTTGCTTGAGGTTAATGGTAGTCTTGGCAGGTTGATGCATCTCTGACAATCTGTTTTGGATGCAGAAAATAATAACTGTTAATCTTTGTTTTTTCACATTCTAAAGATAAACTAGAAAATCTGTTTCCGACAGTATCATAGAGATTAAATTTATTTCAGTTAAGTGTTCATTTATGCTTGGCCTGTCTTATGTATGCCATTTAAGATGCTTCTTAAACTTACTTTCTTTCGCAATCTAGTATGATGTTAGAATGGAATTTTACCAGTATGGTTGATAAAATTGAACCGGGATTATGCTGTATATTGTGAACATACTTGAGGAGCAATCGTGCCTGACTGTGGCCATTTTTAATTGTCAGTGTAATGATACACTACAGTTTTGCCAAATGAAGGCGTCTAATTTTGCCAAAATGTTCTGAGCTGTAAGTAGTATTAACTAGTATGTGTAAAAAGTGGTAACCTGTAAAATGAAAGCGATAGTCTGTAATTCTGGATACTTTATTATGATTAATTATGGACTGTTTTTAGCTTGGTGAAAGTTATTAACTGAACAATGTTGGTAGTACTCTATCTTACTAGTTTAATCCCAACATTCCTATTCCTGAAACTACTTAAAGTACGTAAAACTTAATAAAGAATAAATACCAATAAAAATGTGGTAGGATGATTGGAATCCCTCCCTCCCTATCTTTAATCAAAGGTATTAAGTTCTTATTGTGGAGCGAAAAAAATGTGCGTCTTACCCATCTGCCTATTTTGAAAGGATTTAGATACGATCAAATTGATAAAATATAATACATCAATTATTATATCTTTATAAATAAATATTCCTTTTGTTCATTTTAACTTATCCACAATGGATTTTGCACTTTTGTTATAATGAAGTGTATACTTGATCATATCACTCATATTAATTGAGATATAATTTTAAGTCTTAAAAAATAATTTAAAGAACGAGTAAATTAACATGCAAAAATATACTGTCTTTTTTGCTAAGGCGGACAAATAAAAAATAAAAAATATGTTTGCTATATTGAACAAGTAAAAGTGGATAACACATAAATATTTGCAAGTTGCACCATAAATAAACCAAACAAAGGACGGCAAATCTTTTTTTTTTTTTCTTTTTTCCCAAAAGACAGAATAAAAGGCTTTCCGACATTTTCAAACTCCTCTTGATCTTTTATTCAGGGAATCTGATGTGACCGCTAGAATTCCGCCAAATGCATAATTCCATAAATTACAAAATTTTGGATTAAAATTAATGTAATGAATTACCAATCTATCCCATATTAATTGATCATCTTATTAAAAATATTTATTTCATATTAGTTATCCACCTTACTAAATCAAGAAAACATTAATCAATCTTTTCCTATATTACCCCTATAATTAATTTTTTTTAAAAGTGTTCACATTTATTTGTAAAATCACAAGAAATTTTTTATGAGGTGAATTATTAATATTTTCTTTTTATATATGATTTTTAATATGGATATAAAAAGAAAAATAATCAACTAATATATTCAAAGACACTTGACTTAACTCTTTTTTTTAATTATTATTTAAATCAAACAAAAAATGTTAGTCGCAAATACTAAAGTACATTCAAACCAGACCATTACTAAAGTCCAGCATATAGAAATAATTACCCATATTTGCAAATACTTAAATATAATTTGTGCCCAACGAGCTAATTATTACTTGCGCTCATGGAAAAACTATTTTCCTCAGATCTATTTAGTGTTTTTGTAACCCCTCATGACAAAGAATGGTCGAAAAAGATACGTCCTTCCTAAAAGAAGAATTTGAGTGAACAAAAAAGTATTTTGGCATTTTCCCTAAAGGTGGTCCTCATGATGCCCCTATGAGCTTACCCATGATATGATACCCTCTTTTTCTAAAGTATGCTAGCTAGTCTCATGCAAGTCATTAAGTACTTTATTGATCTTTACCATAGTTGACTTTGCACTTGCTCAACTTTAACGAATAATAAAAAATCTCACCAATATGGATTGTGGTGGAATGATTTAACTCCCTCCATCGTTACAAAGCCTTCATATTCGAACCTTGAATACGGAAAAAATCTTATTGGGAGCCGTTGCCCCCAGAAATGGATCTTGTAATGCATGAATCTGATTAATCGAGGTCCAATCCGGAAAAATCAAAATAAAAGATCTCCAAGCTACATAAGTACATTCAACCAATCAAGACGAACATCTATCGTTTTCATTATCTCTTTCTCTCCGTCCGTCCAATAATCAACAACACCGCCTACATCCTTTTGCCACTTAAAAAGGCACCATTTTGGCTCCTAATTGGCCAAGCTCCAATACTAAAAATTCTCCTCAGTTTAAATAGGCCCTCCACTAGAAAGAAGTGTCTTAATCCAAGAATATTTTTTTTAGTTGGAGGGTTCTTCTATCTCTTTTTGAGAAACCATAGTTCAGAGAAAAGGTTCTTTGAGATATAGGAAAGGACATATAGATTGACTAGTCTCATCATCATCGTTATCCTCTTCAATATGCCTTATCTCACTGCTACTTCAAATTAGGTCAGCAGACCTATTGCTTTCTTTTGTACCTAAATCAAGGAATAAACCTAACTGGTACTTTGGACCACATGTAAGCTTGTAAAGTTGGAATGCACCACTTTGGTGTACATGTAACAGATTACAATAGGTCAAATAAGTTTTTTCATAGTACTAGGTCTAAGGACCACTTAGTTACCAATGGCCTACCTTTTTTGCTAATGATAGAAGCCCTGATCCAGAGAAAGAAAGGTCAAAGTACCAACATCCAATAGTGTGACCTAGTGATCAACATAATTAGTAAAAAAAAATATGGACTACCAAGGTTCAACAATAAACGCTAAGTGATCTATTCTCATTTGTGTATGTCTTGATGGATAAAATTATCTGGTATATGATGCACGACTCGGACACCATCATTATTTTAAAAATAAAAAAAGGTTGACAAACCCCAAACATAACATATCTATAAAGAAAGAGGGATATGTAACAAGTGTAATAGTGCAACCCACTATACTTCATGGGGCATTTGTGATGTAAAAGTAGTATTTCATTTTCCGCAAGTGAACTAATGACGGAACAAAGACTAATCAGCAGGAAAATCCAAAACACTTGTTAAAATGTCTAGAAACGGACAGTAATGTATGTTGGCTGATTATTGCCTTAACATATGTGACAGTATAACACTTCATTACATTGAACCTCAACCAAATATACGGTGCTCCATAAAAGAAAATTCATCAATTGACAGTAACCAAATGTTCTAGCTTCAGCTGCAGTAACTTCTTTTTCAGATAACAGTAGTAGCCAGGTCAACTTGTTTTAATGTCGACCATTCCACTGGATACTTATTACCGCCCAACAAATTAAGTTGCAGAGGATTTTTGTTTCTCAACAGAACAAATAATTTTTACTCAATTATTTTTTCTAATTATTGAGAGAAATAGAGGGGGGGGGGGGGGGGGGGGATCTATATCTCATGGTGAACTGGACTTTTCTGCTGTTCATATACAATGCCCACTATCTGTCAGAAAAGAAACCCCAACATGAAGACACCCACATAGATCCTCATGTTTAGAAGAAAATACTAAACAAAGTTGGAAAAGATGCTATCTCATCCCTTTCCTATTTTAATCACTATTATTGACAAATCTTTGGACCCTACCACTCCATCAGACATTGAAACAAGGCACACTCAATTTAGTATGACACTACCACCACTCACTCCAACATCTACATTCTGCTTCCTAAAGCTTCTCATTCACTCATTCTTTCACAAAGGAAACAAGTCACTGCTGGTGGGTTCCATCTTTACAATACTTCCACACCTACTTAATATGAAAAGTTTTCGCAAGCTACAAATTTTTTTACCAATCACTAGTAATAACAACAGGAAAAATGACAGAGACAATCAGAGCAGGAAATTGATTCTTGGAGCTATCGAACAAATATCCAGCTCTAAAAAATAATGAATTCTTTGAAGTGGGACAAGCTTCAATAATAAGCTGCCAGATGCAAAATCTATGCCTTTTAAACTAATCTCAAACACATGAATTTCAGTCATGTGATCTCTAAATTCTTATCATACTGAATACAAGCATAATCCAATACATTCTATATGACAAATTCAACATTGAAGGCAGCTGCACCGCAGGCAAAAGAAACTGTAGGATTATGATTAGACTATAAATTGAATCACAGTGATTCTCAACCTAATTAACTCCAACAAGAAATTGTTAAAGGCAGAATTATTTGATTAGATAAAAGAGAAAACAAAGAAGAAGTGGGGGAATCGCGGGCTTGACAGGGACGGCAGTGAAACATGACGTAAGCATTGTCCCCTGGAACACCAAGCCTCACTAGGTGGGGACAGTGAAAAGAGATATGATAAATTTCAATACCTAATCTCACCTTCACCTCCTGCATGATCTCAATTTTATTCCTTGCCTCTCTGATCTCTAGCCCTTTAAGAGTCCATTTGGTCAGTATCTTCATAAAGCCTGTCTCTTCAGCAAAATTGTGGGGGAGGGAAGAAAAAAAAGACTTCTGCATAATTTCAACAGCCAGCAGAATGAGAAGTCCTGAGGATGGCAGCCGCGGAACTTCAATATTTGATCAAGGTGAGTGGTTGAGTTTGAGCTTAGGAAGAAACTCACCTTCAACATCTAAAGAATCTGAGTCACAGACAAGACCTACTCCTGGCAAGGTTTTTTCATGTAACTTCTGCATGAGGAAGTTCTACAGTTCACAGGCTCTGGGAGGCCACCAGAATGCTCACAAGAGAGAAAGAGGGGCAGTGAGACAGTATCAGTCCCAGAGGATGATGACAATGATGGCTTTGCCTATCAACAATCCCATGTTCAGATCTCTTGGCATGGTTCCTCACTCACTTGTGCATACAACAGGTAGAGATGTAAGTTCAACTGTGGCAAGGTTCAGCGAGGCTAGTACAGGCTTTCAAATGACATCTCATCCCAATCCGGTAGACGAAGGATTTGAATTGAAATGGCCAGGAAGTTTTCGACTAAATCCACAACAATCAGAAGACCAGGCTTCAAATACAAATAAGATTGATCTGAATCTCAAGCTGTAATTATTCTACTCATCTATTGCAAATGAAACTATTTTCTATCCTCTCATGTAACAGCTTCAGCTTGGTTCATCATCAGTACATGAACTGACTGTATGATCTGCGAGACCTGTTTAGAGTAAAAGATCCTAGAGAAGTAGTGCTCCTAAATGTCAAGATTTCCAGCTTTATCAGATGAATGATACCTAAGATGTAATATGTACTTTTCAGTTTCTTTTTTTCCCTACTGCACTAAGAACAACTTTTTAACGTCTTACTCTCTCCCAAATAGTGGCAGAAGGTTATTGAATATGCATTTATAACTTTTTGGTATTAAGCTCGGGCAATCTAGAGCAGTATGTTTAAGATCAAGAAATTAGACAAATTCCGATTAGAATTTTAGAGGAAACATCAATTTTCTATCTTGGTTTATTGATGAATTTAAAGAGATTCACTTGCAAAACAAAGAGAGAGAGGAGGGAGCGAGTGCGTGGAACGAAGTACTGGGGTAATAGTGCAGATAGAAGCTATGGAAGTCCTCATACTGAGTAAAAAATTTGATCAGATGTAATTCCGTTTCCTGGTTAGCAACATCTAAGAGATGGAAATGGATATCTAGTCTCTCCCCTTTCCTTCTCTACTTTCTTGTTATTTTAGATGGTGGTGGATAGTGTTCAGGACAAAGTTGTCGCACAGTACACTGGAAAAAGAAACTAATGGGCCTTCACCTCTATTGCTCGCAACATGTCAAATGTAAGTTAGACCTCTTTCCACTATCACATGCCAAATGAACAGAACCCAAAACTCCTTATGGTCAGCAATAAACACTTAAGTGCTACACTAAACAGCAAAACAGAAACCCACCAATAGCACCACTCTAGAATTATGTTGAACTTCTGCCGCACACACATGAAACACAAGTCTAAATAACATTTTATACTTCCCCTTCCAAAATCATTAAGTCTAGGCCTACTTTATTCAGCACCAAAGTCAGCAAGCCATTCTCTACAAAGTGCTTCATAAGGTTGGTGTGAAAGTGTGTCGGTAATCAGTCTAACTGTTCAGAGCTGTACCCTACTTCCATCAGATTCTACAGGAATAGCTGACCTACAAGTCGTCAACTCTCAACTTTCAGATTGTCTAATGCATAAGAGATAACATAAGATAATATCTCATTGTAAGACCAAATGTTCAATCCATTGTAACTTCACTTACATACTTAGGAATCCACATGACCAGTTGACGTTATAATATTTCAGTCAGTGGCAAAGAGAACTTGACTTCTCAACTTGGCAATTTTAAAGTTTTCAGCTTCTCAAAAACTTTGAGGAAGAAGTGGTGCTCTTCTACATGACATGAGGCAGGTAAAAAGGAGGGCTAGCACAGGCCACAAAGCCTCCCCTCCCACCCCCACCTTGAGATTTGGATGTTGCTACTGATCGCTATGAAGCTTTATCTTTCATATCGATTTGACAAAATCCACACAGCACCACTTAATCACCAGTTTAGATATTAGAAGCAACAGTTACCTATACTAGGGAATACAAATTATTGTCCATTATTAATTATTTTTTTTAACAATGGTGCAAATTCTACAGAGATTACAAGAATCCTTTCACATTTTACAAAATTACCACTCACCACTTCTGAGTACTTCATTTATTTGTACATGCTGCATATATGCTTGAATGCACTTCATTAACCTTTTTGATCTGCCCTCCACTATCTAAAATATACCAGTATAACCCATTGAACCTAGTGTCCCTGCTTGGCTGACTATTGCAAAAATGGCCTTAAGATCTCATCATTTACATAGAAGTACTAGTATAGACCATCAAACCTAATGGATTTTGCAATCTTCTGGAATACACAGATCAGAACCACAGCCTATAGTTGAACGCAATTCTTTTACATGTTCTAATAAAGCCTTGACACAGAGAAAGCTTGAAGAAAGTAATTATGGGGAAAAAGGTTGGCTAGCGACTGAAGTTTAACTAGTACCCTGAATCAACCCCACCATCCTGGCAAGGAACTCTTCTATATATTTGTCTTATGTTTGCAACATGCTCTTTCAGTTTCAAGTGCAGCCTTGATTTTTTTGGGTAACAAGCACACGAAATGATCCTGTTGATAAAGGCGGTGAAATTCAAACTTAGAACCTTTATCTGCTCTGAAATCATCTTAAATATGAATTGTCTTATCTAAAGCACAATTTTTTGTATTTATTTATTTTACTTCTGAAAATTAATGCTCATCAATTATCATAACTTGACCATTATCATCATAAATGGGTTCTGTGTCATTCATTTACTATTTACCAACTAACTCATCAGCAAGTTTACCAATAACATTTGTTCCTCAATCAAAAAGTTAATGAACAAAGGATTTGTTTGCTCAACCAGATATGATACCAAGGGAGAAAGTTTCACGAAAAATATACTATGTGCTTTCATTTTTAACTTTTTGATCAGCACAACTCTGCTAGTGCAATCAAAACACTACCAGCAACCTCTTCCCAAGAGAACCACTAAAATCCAACACTTCCTGATGAGGTTCTGCACTTCTGCTTGACATTTTTGTTGGTGAAGCGAGGAAAAACTTGTGAAGGCCACAGATGCATCATTTTGTGAGTTTGAAAGTTAAATGCTTGCAAAATAAGTTTAGGTGGGAAGGTGAGTGTCAAAAGTTCATCTGCCATAGAGCCTTTTTTTATAATGGTGGTGTCCGGACAACTAGCATGCACCTTGACTATCACACCAGTATTTGCTACCTCCCACTAGCACATGTACCGGATAACTCTGCCTATCAAGGGTTAGGTAAATGGGAAAAAATCACCTAGTGTTTTCATCGCTCATAGTGCCTTTTGATTCTTTTAAGAAAGTCTCTACTGTGTCATTTCACTTCCATTTATCCAAGGCACCAATCATGTTGTTGCACTCTTTGCATGTCTCGATGCGATGTGTTTTCCCATCCTTTACACTTACATAGGGAAGTAAATCAAAGTCAGAAGAAGAAAAAATCAGAAGTCAGAAAATCAAATAATTCCATAACTTCCTTAAAGATCAATTATTATTGACTAAATTCCACAAATGGGAGGAACATAGAAAGAAGGATCAGATACAACAATGTTGTGCACACCTAGTGCTTACATGGTTTTTCGATACTGAGCTTTTGAGCCTTCTGCATTATGATGGGCAGCCTTTCACTAATAATGCTTGGATCACTATACGCAGCACAATCAGAAGGATATCCTTTCTGCAAAAATTAAGAAGATTTGTAAAGGAATTCCAAAAAACAAACTAAAAGTAAGTTAAAGTAAATACGATCTAACACCAGACCAGACTAATCCTTACATTCCCAATATAGGAAGTGCTAACTAGATACAAATTTTGGAATCTTTTCAGCCAGCATTTTGTTATGCCTTTCAAAGTGAAGAATCTGTTTACTGCTTGAGGCAATTGTAGGACCAGGAAATAAGGAAGGATCTTCTGGAATACAGTTATCATGTGTGTTGGGTTTTGTGGTGCAGAAGAAATTCCAGATGTTTTGAACTTTGAAGGGAAAGCTGTTTCCATACAGCAGCTAAAAATTAAAATACAAATAACTTCGGTTTTTGGTGCAATATACAGGATGTGAAGGATGGCAAAACTTGTTTACTTGATCAATTTTATTTTTTTTGAAGGACAGAACAGCATGTTAGATTTTATTGACTCATTGCAGGAATAGGAATTTGTATAGGAAAGAACCCTTCTTTTTGTTTTTCGATAGGGGTTCTCAGTGATTTCGTAGCAGCACTATCTTAGTGCATTGCTGTTTATATTTATAATATCTTTAGTTACCATTTATTAAAAAAAAATAGATGCACAGTGAACGTCCAAAGTAATGAATTTTCTGAAAACAGGTATACAAGAAGAAAGATCTGCTTCATCTTCACTTAATTAGACCAACTAAAGTGAACTCTCTCAAAATCCTTACCATTGAAGTCATATATAGAGAGAATGTAATGCCATGTAAATAGTGCAGGCATTAGTTTCAAGGAATTTTTACATTCATTTGTCAAGGTTATTTTGAGATTTTGGTCAAAGGAAGCCCAACTACTTTTATTTGACTTTTCCTATCTTATTTCTTTCTATTTGCCTATGTGCACTTGACCATAGGGCATCTATTATAGCGGTTTGGCCGTCTCTAGACGTATAATTGAGTCCTAGTAAAATTGATCTTACAGTTGTCTAGTTACAACTTAGTACCCTGATATTCTAAGGCAACAAGAGGTTTTAATCTTCAAGACTTGTGCTTCTTGTTATTAGTTGTAATTGAGACATGAATTGTACTGGTCTGGTTATGAAGAAGATTATGATTTGAAAATGTGGGGTGTATAGATAGATTTCAACCCATAAGAGGGTGAAGAGGACTGCCCACCTTCCCACCCCTTTTCTCCCACTTGCTTTTCTCTTTCTTTGTTTCCTGCGTTTCTTGTCACTGCATTAGGATCTGGTTTCTTCATCTCACTACAGAAGCAATCTTATTCCAAATCCTATTCTGTTCATTATGAAAATCCTCCCTGAAGCCTGTCAACTATTCTGCTTTAAGTAACTAATTTCTGCACCACAGTTTCCTGTATCAGTGCTGCATCAACAACCCTTTAGGGATTGTGAAACATACCAATCAGTCTATAAAAGGAGTAGATGAATGACTTCTCCCTAAAAACACAAAGATAAAGTAACATCGAGATTGCCTGCTCAAACAGTGAATAAAATGGTCTCTACTATGCTAAACAACTTATAATGTCTATGTTATAGAACATATTAGGGAGGCACCAGAAGTGACAGACAACGCAGATAGCAAAAACAACAACTTTGAAATCAAGAACAAATGTTAGCAACTGTGGAAATCTAGGGTCATCATCATAGACAGATCAATAGGTCTATATAGAAGCGGGAGGGGTGGGGAGGTCTCCCTGGTACTATTCTTTATCTTTTTTATAAGTAGGTCTCCCTGGTACATGTATGGAGATGATATTGAACTTACAGAAGACAAGGCTTGAAATGTGGCTTCTCTCCAGCAGCTTTCTCGAAGAATAACTGATTTCATATGCCTCTCAAATAAACAATGTAAACGGGTGTCTCTTAGCCTCATAAGCACTCCATCAACTCTAAGCTGTGTAATGCATTCAACCATAAGTAAAAGAGATTAAGAAACAATAACTCGGGCGCAACAAATTGTTTATGTAGAAAATTTTCCAACAGAGCTACTCACCCAGAAACGCAACAATAAGAACCAACCACTTGGCATGACCCTCTAGAAATACACAGAAGCCGTTCATCAGTGAATTGGAAGTCGGACAAATTGATATGACTTAATAAGAACCAGAATAACATTACCACTTTCACGGTTAATAGTGAGATTCCATTATCAGCAAGTTCATCCTCATATAAGATGATCTGTTGAATGAAAAAATGAAATCAACTTGGGTGCTAGAAAGGTAACACAGGTAGAAAATGGATAACATTACTCAGTTAAATGACCCTGAAATCATCAAATTCTGATTCACCAACCTCATCATAAAAGAGAATAGGTTCTTTTGATGCCAGTGCAACCAAATCAATTTTGTCAATGCAATCCTCCCAATGAAGACTACAGCTGCTTTCATTCGATAACCCTCTTACACACTATTATACAAAAGTAACAAGAATAGTTCAAAAAACACTTGAGTTTGACAGCAAAGGATCAATAACTAAAGGAAAAGATAGAAGAAGGGATATAAATAAAAATGTTCCCATTCAAATAAATTATTTTTCCAAGTGATCAGCGATTATTGCTAAGGTGTAACTCAAAATGCAACATTTGAGTCACTGACCGGAGGATAAGGACAAAATAACTGATGAAACAGCCTGACCAAGGTAGCAAGCATTAAACCAGCTGGAATATTAACTTTAACAATCTAGAAAGTGTGAGTGAATAATAAAATGTCTACAAACTTTAATAAGTATTACTCCAATGATATAAGATTCAGACCTCGGCATTCCTTTCGACAGTTTCACTTCCATTGTAAGGTGTGGTGAATGTATAGTCATAGTCAAGCACCACCTGTTGCAAAGGTTTACTGCAAACACACATAAATAAAATTAGAGATACAGAGAGAGAGAGAGTCAGGAAAAGAAAAGAAAGGCAATGAAGAAAGCCTTCTGTCAGACGACTTCCACTATGGATATCAAAATCCATTTCTGAAGGGAAAAGTAAGAAATGAATACCAAGTAAAAGGCATGATCTGCTTTAAAGCATATGAGCTCTAGAATGTCTAAGTCCTGTACCAGAATCATCCAATAGTCATCAACATTCATTCAGGTCAGCAGCTAAAGTAAAAGATCACCATCATCCATGACATTTTTTTTGGTAATCCAATGTTGTAAGAAATTGGACATGCTCCTAGATCTTGTTATTAGAAGTTACTGACATTCTAGGAGAAAAGAATGAAGAAAAGCTTTCAAACAGTTGCTGGTTGTTCTTTAAAAAAATTATTTATTTATTTGTATCTGTTTTTTTTTTCTTTTACAGCTTCAGCCTTTCAAATGTACCAAGAACCATTCATGCAACTTGCAAGTACCAAAAATGTACCAAATAAAGCCTTCATACGGTTGTTTTCTTTACATATCTTTTATTAGTGGTTCTTTGGGATATTTGGTCACATACCTGAAAAGTTTCCTCGTTATTTGCCAGTTTAAAAGGTTTTAACTTCTAAAAGAAGCTCCATTTTAACTTACTAAGTGTTGTTTGTTGAGATGGTATTTTTCGCAGAGTCTACTGGTTTAGCTAAAGGCCTGAAAGCTGATCCCAGTCAGATTCAATCTATTTGACTGGCCAAAATTTATGGCTGTGTTGGATGTTTGAAGCTTTTGAGTTAGCAGCATTGCCTGGGAGACAGATTTGCAATTCAGCAGTATACTGAACTCTATCACGGGGTTATAGAAGGGATCAACCTTCCAATTGATGAAAAAGATCTATCACCAAACTGTGGTGCTAGCACCAGCTGACAAAACTAATATAAACTCTACCACCATACACTGGTGCTGGCACCAGCTGACAAAACATCCTCTTTCAGGGAGTAATGCTTCTACGTAATTACTGAAATTAATCGGAAAGATAGTAATACCTTCTGAATTTCCATTTTGCAGCTGCTGGAACTTCAACAGGTGGTAATGCCTCGTGCTTCCAACCAACTAGAGCATCTAATGCATTAAAGTGAATTTTTGTGCCAGTATTCACATGTTTAAGCACCAAAGAATTGTCCCCAAATACCATCTCTGGCAAGTGAGAGGTCTGAAGTTCTTCTTCCCATCTGTATGCATATCAAGCCATTTAGGGAGGAATTAGACCCTTTCAAGATATCAAAGAGATAAGTGTGCTTTCCTAGAAGAGGATATGAATTATTATATGCAAAAACATAAAAGTCCACAAAAAAAATGTCCAATATAGCAAATGCATGGCAATCTTGCTTCATGGGGTTAGGGAGAGTTTAATATTTAGGGATACTTCTTCACAGGTCATATGTCACATGCAGGACGGAAAACGACAAACATTCTCTGAACCAAATTGCACAAGAACCCTCATCAATATGCAGCACTCAACCTAAAATTTGCAGGGATAGCATACACTAAGATGAGAATCATTAAAACCTCAGGCCTGAGTGATGAATCATTGAAATTCAGCATCATGAGGAGTTTCCAGGGCGGTGCAAAAGATTGACGCAATATGAAATTGCATAACAATTCACATCCAAATAGCTGTTGTGGATTAGAACAGTTCAGATTAGAGGAAAATGCTGTAACTCTAATTTTGTAGAAGCAGAAGTCTTATTTCATGTTTCACATCCTAACCATCAAGCCCTACATGCCTACCGTAGCCTTTATGACTTTCTGTTACCGCGTAGTTAATCAATCAACTACGCAGCAATCCAAACAATTTTAAATTGCTTAAACATGAAACAAACAAGTTGCAGCCACGAAAACAAATAAGCGCTTAATTGAATTGTACATATATAAAAGGGTAAAAGAGTACTGTTGAAGCTGAAGAGAAGTGAGAATGGAACGCTTCCGAGACTCAATCTCCCAGCCGTGAATACGGAGTCCACTCCGTCCGTCCGGTAGAGGCTCAGCTCCGGCAGCCTTTAGCTCTCTCTCATCACTCTCCCACTCCATGTTCCGATTGTCCGGCAGAGTACTTTCCCGTTTGGTTTAGAAAATTTTATAAGTAACAGTTTCTCCAAAAAAGGAGAAATTGTGTATCCAAATATAGATGTTCACGAAAATAACAAAGAAGTCAAAATGCAAATATTTCTGAAAATAGTTCTCTGGTTAAAAGCTAACCTGAACACATAATTAGCCCCCCAAAAAAAAAGTAAGGCCAGCTTGAAAAGTCACTTGATAATTGGATTTGAATGCAGTTGAATATAATTACAGGGTTAGACAAAATAATTATTTAATTGGTAGAGAGAATTAGGTATAATTAGAATTGTGAGTAATTCCATGATCACTTTTAAATTTCCTTATTTTAATTAGTTTTGTAATTTATTTTTTCTATTTATTAAAAAACTCTACTTTTAAAATTATTCTGAATATATTTCTCCTTCATTTTGTTTTCTTCTCATTTCTCAACCTTCTCGTCATTCCAGGTAATCACCGATATATTTCTTATTTTCTCTTTTCAACTTAGCTACATTATTATTCTAGTTTTTAAAACTATACCTATATACTGAGTTATATTATTAAAGTAGGATTTCTCTGTTGAAGGAAGTTGGGAATCATTTGGGCATAATAAATACCAACATTACTAATACACCTTATTCATCACTACTTTTATACACCCTACCAAACGAAGTAATGATGTGTTACATTACTACTAACCCTCCCTGGGATATACTGTCGCAAGTACGAGCTGTAAAACAACTCACTAGCAATTCAGCTCTTACCAAATGATACTTGTCGGATTAGACGCTTCACCAAAATGGAGCGCAATTCAACTCAACTGAAATAGGTTCATCTTTACTGACAGTTACACAACGGAAGGACGATGAAAACGAAGTAAATAAGAAGAAAGATACATTTTAATCTGCAATACGTACAACACCATACCATGTCTACTGTACGATTGAGACATAAATGTAAAGCATGATCGAAATTTAAATACCATCTAGTCCCTGCTAGATCCACAGCTTTAATAACTGGTAACTACTAAGAACAAAATTCAGCTCATCTCCCAGACTCTCCATAATGCATATTCACTCAAGTTTAGATTGACGGGAGGACTCCACATGACTCTGTACTGCAAAGTTCCGCCTTCAACTAGCTAACGTTTCAATCTTTAACCATTCACCAATATCAGAAAACTTCCAGGTTAGATTATATTCCATTCCAGAATTTGGCACTTCCACTATTCAGTCTTGTTTCTGCAACCTGCTACTTCTACGGACGTTCTGAGAATTCGGGGTATCAACCTTCACCGTCGGCTTCTTACGAGTCTTACTTTGGGGAGTGTCATCCGGTCCTTGATCTGTTGTATTATCGTTCTGAGAATTTGCGGTACCAACTTTTGCCTTCTGCTTCTTGGAAGTCTTATTGCAGGGAGTGTCATCCGATGTTTGTTCTGTTATATTATCATTCTGAGAATTCACAGTACCAACTTTTGCCTTCTGCTTCTTGGAAGTCTTATTGCGGGGAGTGTCCTCTGATCCTTGATTTGTCGTATAAACTTTTTTAGTTGGTTCACTAGATTTTTTTCCACTGGCTTCCTGTATCAACAAATCTTCTTCACTCTTATCTATTGCATGACCTTTTTCTCCATTAAGACATTGCTTTGGTTGTTCCAATTTCCCAACCCGATTGCAGGAAGCAATGATGCTATTAGATTCAGTTCCAAGTGGTTCTCCAATTATCTGCGATTTGGATGGAGATTCTTTCGACACTTTCTGACTCATAATTGTGTTCCAGTGAGGAGAATGACGATGGCAATGACGAGCATTTTCAAACCATTTACTGACCTGTATATTTAATGAAAAGAATAAACTAACTAAGAAGGGAAAATGGGCAGCCACAAAGCAATAAAGAAGACACAAGTGACAAAAAAGAGGATGCAGCTGAAAGTAACATATGCCAGGGAGAGCTTATTAAAACCTGGTAAGCTGTTAGCCCTAATTCTTTACCCAACTTCTCCTTTGCGTCACGGTCAGGATACTGATTGTCCTTGAAGGATTCGTATAGTCTCTGAAACCCAAAAAAGCATTAAACTGAAGTGAGGAAATGCATGAAAACTAACAAAGGATATTCTTCTAGTAAACTAGAAAATTACATGTCAATCCCAAACTAGTTGGACCTGCCATACGAATCCTATGTAACCATTATGTTCTTTTCAGTCACATTTCATTCAAAAACTAATCAATTTGTCTCTTCAAGCAATTTTTTTTAAAAAAAAAAATACATGATTAGAGAAGCCACAATACCATACAACAGTTTGAAAAAAAAAACTTTCAGAAGGCATCACCATATTAGGCAAGCACAGCTATAAACAAGTCCTCTTCTCTTTTTGGAGGCAGCTAAAGAGTAAATAAGATTTGCTTGAAAGCTAATGAAGTTAGTTTTTCATATCCATTGTACACTATTTCTTCAAGGATGACATAAGTATGATCTCCTCCTACCTTCAATAGGTATTGTTTTTAATTTCATTGGAAAGTAAGATGCCGACCCCACTTGTAGGATTTCACGGGGTATATGTTGTTATTGTTGTTGTTGGAAAGTAAGATATCACTGGAACTATAAACACTGATCAAATTATGTAAACTGTTGGAACCAGGGTAAAGCCCACAAATACCTTGGTGGCGACTTCTCCATGTGCTTTTCTTTTACCACTTGAAGGAGATTCGGAGGTACCCGCGCCTCCAACTTTGAGTTTCTCAGAGATTCCACTATCAGAAGCACGTCCACTCCCTTTTTGTTTCCCACATTGATGCTTGATATCCGCAGGAGTCGAACTAGGAGAAGCCATAGCACCTTTGGCATTTCTCAACTTTCTCACCTTGGGTAAAGGACCATCACCATAATCTTCATCACTAGACTCAGAAGATCCATTTCCATATGTTTCCTTCATACACCAATGAATCCGAGCACATTAATCCAATCAGGTGGAAGGAAAAAGATAAGGAGTCACATTGAAGAACACAAAAGCATACATGATTGATGAATATATGACATGCAGAAACGTACCATTTAAATGAAACAAATCATTTTTCAATATAATAGATCTTAGATTATGTTGATACAATGTAGAAAAATAGTATGTCCCATTGCAGACGAGCTTTCCTCGAATCCTCACATAAAAATAGCAGTTAAGCCTTCACAATTTTAAAATCCATGTTAAGTGCAAGCTTGATATTTCAACTTGGTTGTGCCAGAGTAACTGTCCATCAACTCCACCAGCTGAACCACACATCATATGAAAGTTACAAGCCATGGTTTTGGGAAAAGAATCCCATTCTTTCCAGTAGATGACCTTTATATCACGTGACCAACTCAGGAAGATATCAATCAACGAAGGTTGGCTACTGAGACAGTAAGAACATACCTCAGTAACCTAAACATTAGTCATGCAGCTCTTTAAGAGAAACAACATTCTCTGCTATAATGTTAAGTGCTTGACAGCTTGTACAACTTAAGCACCTATTATAAGAACTTACTCAGATGTTAGAATTCAATTTGAATGTTTTAGATAAGAGCTTATGTTGCTTTTCCCTCAAAACCTTTTTGTACTAAAATTAAGTGACCCAGTTCTTGTATATGCGCCATGTACAATCTGATATTCTAAACTTCAAGCCACAGAAAGTGATTACAATACCCAATCACAAAGAGACAAAATATGACTCCCAACAAAAGGGTGTTGTGTTTTTGTTCCCACTTATCTCCCACTATCCTAGTCCATAGATAATAGGCTCTCATGACAAATTTTATACTGATGAAATCAGGACAAAACCAGAAAATTATGTTAATGTGATTATGTGAATGATCAGTCAATGCTAGAGAAGTTGCATCTAGAAAAAATCGAGGAACTAACCCAAACAGGAACTGAATCTTTGTGCTAAAGAAAAACCGTAGTAATATTGAATATGATAATCTCATAAACGATGACAGAAATAAACTGGTCAAGCAAAACTGGCATGATCAATGGCACAGGAGTTTCCATGTGTTCTTCTAATAAATATGGATATTCTACATGGAGTACACCAGTAAATTTCATACTCCGAATCTAAACAGTTAAGAGATTTTGACCAAGGCAAGAGCATGTCAAGAGGGATGAAAGGTACTAAATTAGTTATATACATAAATATTACTCTAGATAATTAGAAAGCATATATGTTGATATTTATACGAACATAAATAATTATAAATAAAAAATAGAAGCTTACATCGTGCAGCTTTTTGTAGTCCAACCTCTCTATGTGCCTTTTGGCAGAGACAAGAGGGCTATCAGACTGCATAAGATAAGACAACTCATCCTTCAGCGAATTTCCTTTAGCTTTGCCAACTTTAGCTTTTTCCTCTTGGGAAGCAGAGTTTGGCATACTGTTATCTACTGAACTGGAAACCCCTTGTTCATCACCTCGCAACCTATTAGTATCAACTATCAAACTAAAATCCTCAGAGTCGGACGTAAAATCAGAACTTGAACTTTCTGTTTTAACCGGCTCATCCTTATCTGGATCATCAGGATTAAAGTCATCATCTTCCGAGTCTTCAGAAGAAAGCCCCAAGATCTCATCATCTTTAGGAGGGGCTTCTGCCAAGTCTTCAGATGCAGAGTAAAAATCAGATTCATCAGAACTCGACTCATCTTCCAAAACATTTTTTCCTACATCTGGAGTTTCAGGGTTGTAGTCATCATCCTCCGAGTCATCTGATGGAAGACCAGAAATATCATCCAGCTTTTCCCCAGAGGCAGCAGCAGCAGCTTCCTTGGGATATACTTTCTACATATGTTAGAAGAAGACACTTAGGAACAACACTTGAGATCATAACGATCAGAAAAACTAACTGCTGATTATCAGGAAAGAATGATCTAGACAACCTCCCAGCTGTCAGTGACGGAAAGATCTGTTCCTTGAAGATCATTAAGCAAGTCAATGCAGTCTACTTTGCAATCACAGCCAGGACAAAGCCAGCCTTCATCATCAGGTGGAACTG